AGACTCTCTCATAGTATCAGGGCTATGATTATTTTTCCCTTTATCTTTTTCTTTCGGTCTTATTTAGATCTTATTTTCTCCAGAGTGTCCTCCAGGGAGCTTGCTGTCCACTCAACCCACCATACTCCTTCCAGAAACAATTTTAAGCCATGGTGATGCTAATATTCGTGCCATGCATAAGGAGTTGTAGTATGCACAACCACCTTGAGGAATGTAGTTGGCACAGCCAGCCATCTGCTAAGGGCTCTTTTAAAGCAGGTGCCCTGGACCTCAAGGAGTTTGCAGACTCTGCCTGAGACTCTGGAGCAACTAGAAGGACCCACAATAGTGGGCCCTGGAAGGCAAGGATCTCCCTTGCTGGGGGACTATACTGCTGCCCACAGCTGTGTAGGGGTGAGGGAGCAGATGTGTACTGCCCAGAACAATGATGCTCTGAGTAGCTGCCACTCTCAGCCCGTGGAAGTTAATACACCTTCCTTAACAGAACCATTGTCTAACAGCAGTCCTGCCTTTGTGCGTAGCTGTGCGGTATCCAAAGCCACTCAGAGACAGTCTCAGTGCTTTGCTCTGCTTCTATCTCTGCAGTGCCTCGGGGCTCTCTGCTCCAGTGCTTTTCCATAATCCATTCTCTGCACTGCAGCAGAAAGACTCCCTATCACAAAACAAGCTGCCCGTTCCCTCAGCCCCTGATGCTCAGATGCTCTCCCTGCACTTAGAATAAAGTCCATGTCAGCAGCACTACCCATGAGGCCCTGGTAGTCTGATCCCAATCAACCTTCCCCTTTTCATTCCTTTCTACTACTGCTCATGCTGATCCCCTATGTGGGGACACCTTTGTGTCTCCAGCCTGATACCCTCTGTCCCTGCAGAGCCACGCTCTCACTTTGGTTTTTTTTCTGACTTCTCCTTGACTCTTCAGACCAGCTACCTCCAGAGAACACATTCCCCCTAATCATGCACACATGCATACACTTGTCATGTGCCTGGACTGTACCAGGCAGATCTCTGTCACAGTATGGCTTCCTCAGAAGGCTGTCAGCTCTCATGGGGAAGGGCTATTGCATCTTGACTTGTTGACTAAGCACTGGACCCATTGTCTAGTAGGTGGTCAATAAATGACCACTGTGGCATTATTCAAGAAACCTGCATTTGCAACTAAGGTAAGTATTTCTCAGAGGCTTAAAAGATTTGTTCAGGATATAAACTATTAAATAAGATGCCTCGACTAACCTTGATTGCATTAAGGGCTTCCTGGGAGTTTAGTGAGGCCGACCCCTGGGTGTGTAAGGGAAGGCATCTTGATGGTGAAGGCACTATGGAAGGAACATATTACTGATTTTGGGGGGGTCATCATAGTATGGCATTAGTGGCACATGGTAAAAGGTAGGACTTAGGGTCTAGCTAGATAAAGCAGGTCTCTCAGGGTCTTCCTAGGGGGCTTTATCTTGTTCTGGCCTCTTCCTGTATGCCCCATGCTTCTGCCACCATGATGTTCTGCCCAAGCACGTGGGGGCATTTTGAAACCACAAGGCAAGCTAATTTCCTCCTATTAATTGTTTCTGTCGAGTGTCTTGGTCACATGGACAAACAAAACCTCTCCTCCCAAGTTGCTTTTGCTCCTGGTCTTTATTAGAGGAATAGAAAACAAACTAAAGCACACACCCAGTAGCTGATTGAACAGACAGAATTACCAGCTTTGCCAAAACCTCTTTTAAACTACATGCAGCAGCCATTTGATGTGCACTGAAAGGTAAGTGTGTTCCAGGAGCACAGTGCTGTTGTGGTAAAACCATGAAACATGGCGTTAGCAATGGACCTGGCTGTAGGCTGTAACATTTCATCAGCGGAGGTTGGCAAATGGGTTCATCTGGTAGTGAATTTCTATTTAGAGCTTAAAGGCTTAGAAGCCCGTGACCCATCTTAAAGCTCCCCTGTGATCAGCAACAAGAGATCCAGCCCTTAGGACAGCAGCTAGACCAGAGGACTGATGAGGCATTATCCTCTCCTCTTTTCACCACACCTGAAGCAATGCTAGCACTCTCTAAGAGCAGGAGAGCCTCGGAATGTGAAAAGACAGAGTCCAGAGGTCAGAAAAAAAATCTTATTTCTAGCAATGGATTCACTGCCAGCCAGCGTGGAAGCAGCTGTAGAGCCCCAACCTACAGGCACAGGGGCAATGTTTGGTTTGCTAGTTTACTGTTGATTTCAAATGAGATGATGAATGAGAAGACTATGACATCGCTAAAAACCTGGCCATGGAAATGTTGTTACTATCTCTGCAACTGCAGGCAACCATCCTCACACGCGACCTCAGGTGAGCACCATGGGGAACCCTGGAACGTGTTATGAGGATAACTTTTCAGATCTTCTAGGGACCAAAGAACTTGACACTGGTATAAAATGAGTAGTATTTAACCCCCTGTGGCATCTATTCTGGGCAAACATATGGGTGAGAACCCATGAGTCATTCATGTAACTTTGACTTTTAGGTCCCTGAATGGATGATTGGCACTGACAAGGTCAAAAAGGAGACCCTTACTGTATAAGGATTTGATTCCTCTTACATGTGCTGTGGTTATTAGCTTTTTTGATAAAACACCTCCATCGGACTGGCCCATACAGTATTTTCTTGATTAATGATAGATGTTAGAAGACCCAGCCCGCTGTGTATGGTACCACTGCTGGACAGGTAGACCTGGGTTGTATGAAAAAAACAAGCTGGAGACAAGTCAGTAAGCAGCATACCTCCATGCTCTCTGCTTCTGTCCCTGCATCCAGGTTCCTGTGTTGAGTTCCTTCTATGACTTTCCTTCATGATGGACCATGATTGGGTTGAGTGAGCCAAAGAAACCCATCCTTCCCCAAATTGCTTTTGGTAGTGGTTTCTCTATCACAGCAATAGAAAGCAAACGAATACACACATGGATAGGAACAGGATAGTTCTTGGAACTCAATTTTCTGCCTTTTTACCAATGATTAACTGCAGCAATCAATTGTGTCAAAGTTCAGATCAACTGAATCCTTGGGGATGTTGATGAGACAATGCCTTGTGCTTGAGTTAATGGTGACTGTAATATGAACAGGTTTATCTACTGTATAGCATATGAGGGACCATTATCTTCCCTAGATCTCCCTCTACCCCTTTTCTGCATGCCCAATCCTAGCCCAACTACTCCAGCAGACACAGAGGTGATAGGTTGGGAGGGCACCCCAACTTATATCCAGAAGTAGGTTAAGGGCTTCACACTTTAAACATTCAAACCCAGAGACAACAACCTATGAAGTAGATGTCAGTGAATGATCTCCATTTTACAAATAAGTCAGTTTTGGAGAAACAGGTAACAGCAAAGAATAAATGTTTTTTCTATCCATCCTCATGTTACATGTCACCTCTCCCCTCAAGGTTCCTCACCATGTTCTCAAACTCACCCAGCATCTGCCCTTTAAAGAGCTGCAGGTTGGTTCATTGACACCATTTGATGAGGATAATTTGTGAGTTGGTTTTAGTTTGTTGATTATCAAGAGTCTGGTAGGTGCTTCTCTAAGCCTCAACATTTGCATCTTGCCTAAGCATTGCACACTGCACCTGTCACACACACCCCACCCCAGGTGCTGTGTCCTTTGCCACTGTCTCCAGGTTGGAATCAGGACCACAGTCTAGGTATGACTGAAATGTGTGAATACCCACCTTATGCCTGATCATGGGCAATCTGGCAGGTGCTTCTTTTCCTTCTTTCCTTTCTTTCTTCCTTCCTTCCTCCCTCCATCCCTCCCTCCGTCCCTCCCTTTTTTCCTTCCCTCCTTCCTTCCCTCCTTCCTTCGTGTTATGTGTGTATAATCATATGTGTACAGAGGTCATAGGAAGACATTGGGTGTCCTCCTCTACCATTCTCTCCCTTATTCCTTTAAAACAGGGTCTCCTGGTCCTGGACATGGATTTGTGACCTACCTACTAAGGTTTATTGTTTGTTTTGGTGGATTTTTTTCCTTCAAACATGGGTACTGAATATCTGAGCTCAGTCTTGCAGTTTGCACAGTGCTCTTACACACTAAGCCATCTCCCTAGCCCCTAAGAAGTATTTCTAGAGGTTTTGATGTGAGTGAATGTATAGATTATACTCTTTCTAGAACGTTTCTATCTGGTCTTTTCCTTTAAGTTGACTGAACAGGGAGGTGTGGCAGGTGAACCTGGGAGCCATCCCGAGCAACAAAAAGCTATGGGTGGGGGTGCCTATCCTCCTAGGCTCAGATAGTATAATACTGATGGGTGTAATACCTGCCTTTGCTGTGTTCAGCCTGAGAGAAAGAATTGAGGTCTCTAACCTGGCAGATGACAGAAGTGGTAAGTGAAGAGTCTGGTAGCCACTTAGGTGTATAACCTGTGGCTCTCAACAATCTCCAACAAATACTAGAGACAATTGTTGAGTTTTCCTGAAGCTATCATCTGATAAACTTCACTTCCCAGCAAGGTCAGAACCAATCAATCGCCCCATACATAAGAGCCTGTAGAGACTGTGTTAACACAGCAATACATCTTAGGATACTTTCTTAAAATTATAACTTTTACAATACTCTTGGCATGACATTTGTACAATGAGTATCTCATCTGATTCTTCCAGTTCCAAGGCATTTTATCAAGAGGAAGCAGAGAATACTGGTGCATGTTGACAATGCATGGTACCTGCCTGACAATGCTCACTGCATTCTAAATATTTAGATTTACTCATGTTTTATTAGTATCTAATAATCAGCATAATAATGGGTTTCATTGTGACATTTTCATACATGTTTATAATGTGTCTCCTTTCACCCTTCCACTGACTGACCCTTTCAGCACATTACTGGGAGGCGGGCACTGTTGTTATCTGTTTTTTAAGGAGGGTATGTGTTTTTTGGAAACACAGCTGAGAATCATAAAGAATTTGAACTCAGGTGAAAATCATATAGAAAGAATGCAAACTCTGGTAGCTGAGCTCTGGAGCCCTGCTCAGAGCTGCTACAAACCTCAGACTCAGAACCACTTGACTTCAGATAGAACCTGCACTGCATTTGTTGAAAACTGAGTGTGTCTGGGTAACTAGCATGCACTACATTCCCTATATTAACTTACCTAGCCCTCACCATTTTGGGGACCTTCGGCAGTGGCTACCTGTGGTACTCAGGTAAGGTAACTTGCATGGAGTTATAGTTTTCCTTACTGCCTTTGGCTTAGAGTGTCATAAGTGAGTACATCTTGCTGTACAAGGTCAACTGAGGTCCCAGGCACTGGCTTCTGTTTGCTTTGCTGAGCTGTTTGCTCTGTGGGAATAGAACTGAAAGTAGCCATAGTGAGTAGGCTTTTCTGGCATTTGGGAACCTCACTGGAGTTCCTGTCACACAGACATGAAGACAGGATTCCAGGCTTGGAGGGCACTGGCAAAGTCATGTCTTCTCTGTGTTGCCCTGGGATGTCTCCATTTCTCTGGTTCCAGGTAAGTTACGGGGACAAATTATTCCTTAATGCATAAAACCACCGAATGCTGACTAGCTCTGCCACACACCTGTGGGCAGAGGAACATCTCTCGAAGGAATTTGCATGTTTCTGATAAAATAAAATCAACAACTCCCTCTGAATTATTGTGGACCCAAGTGGCCAGCTTCAACAAAAGTGCCTGTTAAAGAACTGTCATGTTTACATGAATTTGTCATGCTGAGAAGAACAGGATACATGATCTATATTCTGAATGAAGTTTTGGTCTGGTTCCTTATGTAAAAGATCTATTATATATGAAAAACAAATCAGTTCACATGAATGATCTTAATGAATGACACTGTCTTGTTCAACCCTCCCAGTAGCCTAGCATGTCTAGAGTGAGTAGGTCTCTCAAACCCTTTCTTCCTCTCCTTTCTTCTTTTCCTCTCTCACAGATGTTTGTTTCCAGGAGCTAAATAACAGATTTAGTTCATCCAAGTTTCCATTCATAGGATGTGAAAGAGCTAAGGAAAATAATCTTGGTTGGGACTCGTGCTTTGGGTTCCAGAGAAAGATGTGTCAGAACCTTGGCAATCTGAAGCCCCTCCTCGTGCCTGAGCAGTTCCCAGCATGAGATTTGGACGTGCTCATGATCACTGCTATGGGAGGAGGGAGGGGAAGGTCTTTCTTTACTCTCCAGGTGCTCCCTGATAGCAACCTCTCAACAGTGTGAGCAGCACCATGTTTTCCATGTGCCTTCTGTTCTGAGGTCTGCACAATGCTAATCAGCCTGTGAGCGTCTTCCCAGGGACTGTGAGTCATCATCCACCGGACTCTCCAGCACTCACCCTTAGAATTAGCGTGACCTTCAACTAGGTGGTGAGACCAACTGTGCTGCCAAGGCTTTCCATGCATTTACTTGTGGGCACGGAGAAGCTTGCAGTGCCCAGTGAGCTGTGCTGGAGGAGAGGGCTCATACAACCCTCCTAGGGGCAGCATGTCCCTGCACACAGCTGCTTGTTGATGACAGAGTATCCAGAGATGAGCAAGACCCCAGACTCGTATTCTCAGGGAGCATGGCAGTGTGTGAGCATGGCAGTGTATGAGCATGGCAGTGTGTGAGCATGGCAGTGTGTGAGCATGGCAGTGTGTGAGCATGGCAGTGTGTGAGCGAGATGGTGCCAGGACAAACATCAATCAAGGGTGAGAGTGGGAGTGACTGATTCCCCTCCAGGCATAGGTAACAGCATAGGCAAAGGCATGGCGGTGTGAGAGAGCCTGGCTTGTCCCAGGGCTCCAGGTACATTTCAGTCTCATTGAGTAGAGGTGGGACCTGTGAGGAGAGGCAGGAATCAGTAGCTAGGGGATGCGAACCGTATCCTTCAGGTATAGAAGGGTTGAAGTGAAGAAGTGGCATCATGGGATGCATTTATTGGCAAATTCTCTCTTAGGTAGGGGCTGGAGTTCCACCAGGTAAGAAGAGCAAGCTATTAAACTCATAGCTCTGCCATCTGAGGCAGGGGTGGAGTGGCCTCTTGTTCCCACTCTGTGGAAGGACAAACTGATTCCCAGGGGAGAAGAGAATGGCTCACACTCACTGAGCCTCCAGCCCTTCCCTGACTCCTGGTTGAATATTCTGCTCTCTACCCATGATTCCTACATGCCAGTCCTGAGCACAGCATACTGCTGAGTATCAGACACAAACTGCAAAACAAAAGTATTCTGTGTAGGAACAGAAAGTGTTGCAACCTCCTTAAGATCATAAGGTTTGTCATTCCATTTGCTCAGGTCACATTGTCATATGGCCTGTTGATCATTATTGATTGCCACTCTGTTCCAGGCATTGCTGTCACCCTCACAGTCTTGTCACTCACAGTTTTAGAGAGAAGGAAACTGAGGCTTGAAGACTGCGTGGCTCTCAAGGCTATTCAGCCCACTTGGGGGTGTGTTCAGAATTCAAGCATCCTTTCTGTTTTCTGCCTCTCCTTAACACCCACCCACCCACCCCCACAAATCCACGTGACCTGATGGACACTCAGGATGTTTCCCTGGGAGACACATTGGCTACTTTGAGACACTGCTTTAAATTCCATGCTTGCAACAGCAAATGACAGAGAGAAATGGGAAACCTTTCCCCCAGGAACTACCACCCACCCCCAGCAAAGGGGGAGATGCTGTTTGTACAGGGCTGCAGCTGCCGAACAAATTGTGTGTGACAAGAAAGTTGTTGTGTCAGGGCATTTCCACAGAAAGCCAAAATATATTGATGTGCCCCATCCATGTAAGCTGAGGACTGGAAATTTACTGCTGACCTAATCCCGCCGTGCTTGACGGATCCATCTTTATTTTGATCAGAGAAAGAAAGTAGGAGACCTGGACCCGCAGCAATGTGTTCTAAGGCTGCCAGCCCCAAGAAAGACACAACCTTGCCGGCACTTCCTCAGAAGAGGTGTATTTCCGGTGAAGTATAAAGTGCTGCTTATACTACATTTTTTTTTTTGAAATTGCTAAGTGTTAGGATATGAATGTACCTTAGAGGACTCAATGCCATGCCAGGGATGTTCTAGGAGATAACATCCAGATGAAAGAAGCAAACCAGGTCCCTTTAGGAATCCATGTGGATCTGGCTGATGTGGATGGATAGAAGCACCCAGGTCCGAACAATGGTGCAGAACAAGGCACGAGATCAAGGCGAGGCACAGGAAGGGAAAGCGGCACACTGCATGTATGTGCAAAACCATTCGCAAGACTCTGGAATGACACACAGCATGTCCGTGACCGTTGTGGCCTCTCAAGAGGATGGTAAAGACACAGGACTGGCTGGGGCTGTTGTAATACTCAGATGCCCAATCCCCGGAGATGCCTTTTAGTTAGAGACCATGCGAGTGTGGCAAAAGACTGGCAGGGGTCAATGTCGGTGTGGGGCCCCCGAGTGATTGTTAATTTGCAGTACTTCTCAGGGCAGATTTATGTTACAGACGAGTTGGGCTTTGCATTTGTGTCTGTTAATTGCATGTCGGGCTTCCGTTATGGCACTTCCATACATGCTCGTAATATACTTTGACCGCATGTACACACTCTATTACTCTTTCTTATCTACTCTCCCCACATGGAGGCATCTCAGCAGAAGCCAAGCCAGTGGGTTTGTTTCCATAGAGATTCCTCAGGGTGGAAGGTGCACACAGCCAAATGCAGAGGCCTCAGTTGAACCTGTCATTTGTGCGGCTCTGTGCCATTCTCAAATTCAAGATGTGACTTGACACTAGCCTTTCTTTTAGATTTGCATTTTGTAGCTCTAATGAACCACACTTACCCAATGTAATTTACAAAGATACTATTTATTCTGCTGATTATTTCATTATATTGCCACCTCCATAATGGAAATTGGGTGTAAAAATGAGAGATTTGATGGTTATAACCACTTCTTGCAAGTTGCCTCTGTAAGCCATCATCTCGCCCATGAACAGGCTCTCAAACCTTGGAGAGGAAAATAATTATGACTCTTAATAACGACTGTGCAAGTTACTTATCTACTTGGTCTCCACTGTGGCCCCAAATTGGGGTGATACTTGGGAGAAACAGTGTAACTGCTCTGTGGTTGAAATAGGAAGAAGGAACCCTGCAGAGCTGTCAAATACATACTCGGGAGAAGCCAAATCACAGACAGTATTGTTTTGTCAAACCCGAGCAAATTAGTAGATAGGAGCCCATCAGAGGGCCCCTGCTGGTGTGCAGCATCCTGCCTCAGTAACCACTTTCAAGTACCCACCTGTGGTTTCCAGTAGAGTCTTTGACCTTTTGTTAAAGATCCAACTTTACTAGGCAATTGATTTTTGCCTGTCTCTAGGGTAGCCATGGGGATGGAGCTCACTGTAGTTAATATTATCCTCCTTTTAGGACTTTTGCCAAGTGAGAATGTGTCGTTAATGACCTTGTTTGGAGTGACATCCTGTGTGTTTGACAGTGGAAGCTTTGTGATGCTCTCCCTAATGACTTAATCTTAGAGACAGGGATGAAACCGGCCTTGCAAACACTTACAGAGATAGTGATGGGAGGTGACTGGAATGGATGCAGGTTGGATCTGCTTCCAGATGCCATGGGGCAGGGGCATAGAGCACACTCAGCATCAGACAGACCTAGGCTTAGATCCCAGGACAACTATACCCCAGGTTCACTGCAGCAGACATGTTGTGTCACTCTGAGCCATTTCAGCATCTGTCCAGGTGACCGCTGGCCATAGCTACCTTCCAGAACATCTGTGGGATGGGATGAAAGCATCAGAAAACATCTAGTACAATGGTTAGGTCTAACATCCTAGGCCCTCAATAAGTCTTCATTCCTCTCTTCTTTGTACCTCCTTAGCTTAAGAAGTATAAGTTACAAGGATTCTTACACTGTTATACATACTTATGGGAAGAGATAAAAAATGAATTATAGTACATTTTCCATGCTCTAGGTAGGGAAACTGAGGCTCCTACAGATGAAACAATATGTTAATTCATTCATGTGGTCCAGCTGTGTGCCAGAGACTCAACTGGTAGCCTGCCTTACATCTTAGACCTATTTCAGTTCTCATTTTGCAAGTCTGCTTTGAAGGTTTGACTCCTCTACCCCCTGCCCCATTTCCACGCTTCACACACCTCCACAGGTACACAGGCTCAACCTGATGCTGGCTCCCCCCCCCATACGCCCTAAGCACATTTCATGTTGTGGTAGTTTGAATGAGAATGTCTCCCATAGCACAGATGTTTGAATATTTGGTTCCCACTTGGTGGTGATGTTTGGGTAGACTCAAGGAGTATGGTATTGATGGAGTACATCTCTCTGACCTAGTTTTGATTTTTTAAAACTTCATGCCAGTTTTGGTTAGCTTTTTCTGCTTCCTGCTTGTAGTTCAGGCCCTCAGCTTTCAATCCAGACGCCATGTCTGCTGCCTGCTATCATGCTTCTCCACCATAATGGACTCTCAGTCCTCCTGAGATGTAAGTCAAATAAACCCATCTGTAGGTTGCCTCGGCCATGGTGTTTTATCACGATGATAGAACAGTAACTTATATACTTGGCCTGCTTCTCTCAAAAGAGACCAGTCACTTCCCCGCCTCACCTTCTCATGATCACATCTGTTTCAGCACAGACCTCTCTTGCTGAGTTCAGTCCCAGATAAGAACTGTGCCCTGAGTGAGTATATGTGGCTATTCCATGGGCTTCTGGGGCTTAACCTGCCCCTACCATTTTGCCCTACATCTGTGTCCTCCTATGTCCCTACTACCTAGGCATTCAAGTAGGATTCCAACATCAACCTAAACTCCTTCTTTCCTTTTATACCCTTCCAGCCCATCCATTTGCCAACCACTTTCTAACACTGCCACTTGAGAACTTACTCACCCTTCCCCTACCCTGGCCCTACTGTAGTTCAGGTTCACATCATGCATGGGGACTTCTCCCCAGCCTCCAGACTCAACTGACTCATACCTAACCTCTACACAACTTCAAGCCCATCTCTGGCCATGGGGCCTGTGTGCAATTAAAAATTGCTAAGATGTAAGACATGTTTCTCTGTTGAGTAGACCCTGTGTCACATCCGCAGAAGCCTGATGTCTTCAGTATCAATTATTCTTGGCAAATGTTTTATGGATATTTAATATGAAAAGGCATTATATAGTGCAGACCCCCCTCAATCTTCAGAGGATAAAAAGGAGGCCCAGAGATAGGGAGTACATTCTGTGACTGGATTACCTATGTATCCATAGCCCATAGAGTTTAAGTGCTCACCTAGTGACTATAATTGATAATCCAGAAACAGCTGTGTAAGGGAAGACACTTCAGCCACTGTATGGAGGGGAGACATGAAGCTCACAGAGACCAGAAATCAGATTGCACACGCGACTAAGATATTGTCTTCTAACTGGTGTTCAGTGCTCTTTACCACCATAGTCCTAATGTTAGGCACTTCCTGGGGACTCAATACATATTTGTTAAATGAATTAACAAGCACTAAAATGATAAACTACCTTCCTTGCACACGTGATCTGGTCTACATTTATGAGATGGGTGATTGATGGGTGACAGGGAATAATATAATTCCTTTAGGATATGTGACTCTTCTCTTATGATAAATTTTAGAGGGGAGAAGCCAGATTTCTTTGACACAAATGCAGCCAACCAGAACCTTGCTAAGAGCAGACAAGTACGGAATGTGGATATCACCCCAGTGCCTGTTGACTGTGAGCTGTCCAGCTGGTCCTCTTGGACCGTGTGTGACCCCTGTCAGAAGAAAAGGGTAAGAACCCAGGTCTTGAGTGAGCACTAAACATCTAGGCAGGGGTGGGAGGTAAAGAAAGAGACTAATCTTCAACAATTCTTGCAGAGGTGCTGACAGTGGTGCCTGGCCATAGACTATCCTTTAAGCTGAAAGCTGTTGAAATGACTCTCTCTATGCTTTCAAACAGCAAGCAGATGCTCCCTTTGATATCACCGTGTTTTTCACATGATTGTCTTTGCAGCATCCTGCCTCCGACCTGCTCTTTCTACCCACCCTTCATGGTATAGCCAGGGAAGCTACCACTGACCAGTCTTTCCCCAAATGATCCCTAAGGACTAAAGCCAGACTTCTGTGTCACCTAACCGGACCTCATCTCTATGCTGTATCAGCCCTTGGAATCTTCCCTCTGTACCTCAATTCATGTTGTTTTCTCAGCCAGCAACGACCTTTCCCACAGCCTTCACCTTCTAACCTGACTCAGAACTAGATTCCCTGCTTCAGGAGACCCCTTTCATAAAGCCTTACCTGACTGCTCACCACCCCCAGCTCCACTTAGATAAAGCAACTTTTACATGCTTCCCCAGCCCCCCCACACTATATCCTAGCATATATCATACTGGTTTTATCATTTACTGCCATAAACAGAAAACTTGTAAGTGTGCATGCATGTAACCGGGGCTTCCCAGGGCTCTTATATTTGAGCTCATTCTGCTTTCTGACATCTTTGCAAGGAAAATAAGGTGGCTATCACATATTCTGTTAGACAGGTAAGTGCTGTCTTAGAGGAGGTAAGTGTCTTCTTGGAGCCCTCTAGTAGCCGATAAGCCTAAGCTCAGGCCGTGGGGTCTTTCCTGATTTTTCCACGAGTAGAGCTTGTCTCCATGGTGCCCATCATTCATGTCCCTTGTGATGGGAGAGCTGACCCAGGACCCCAGCTCTCAACAAAGAAGATGTGCCAGAAAAGAGAGAGAAAGAGAGAGGGAGGGAGGGAGGGAGAGAGAGAGAGAGAGAGAGAGAGAGAGAGAGAGAGAGAGAGAGAGAGAGAGAGAGAGAGAGAGAGAGAGATTGCCCTTCCCTTGGCTCCTTGGTAGCCCAGACCTATCATAGCAAAGACTCTGAAGAGGCTGAGGAAGTCAGCACAAGGCAATTGCACAGTTAATTGGATCAATGGGGAGAGCCAAGCACTATCATTCTGTTCCCAGAGTAGGTTTTCTTGCTGAAGTTATCAACATTGATCCAATTATCTGGATAATTGCTTCATCTGCACCATAAGCCAGATCTGAGCATGAGCCTGCTAGCTGGAGCTGCTCACTGTGACTCACTGTAGACTTCCTCACCTGGCATCAGCCCTGTCTGCAAGCTCCATGGCTGGGGCTCAGTGAAACCATTCAACCCAGACCTGGAGGTACGTTTCCTCCATTCTTTCCAACCCCCCAAACCTACTTTGCCTTAGGAGCCTGGGGGTAAGCTTCTGAGAGTCTCCTTGTATATGTGTGGCTTTATTTTTATCCTTTAATTGACAGGGTATTTGTGTTTATTTGTGGAGTATAGCTTTATAATTTGATGTCGATATGCACTGGGTAATGACCAAAACATTCAAACATAATTGTTATCTTCTGCTGACATGTAGAGAAACTTCGATGTTAATGCTCTTAGTTACTTGAACTATAAAATTATTGTGTGCTTATCTTCTGTATTATAGAACATTAGAACCCCCATACACAGTGTTTTGATAATCCATAGCCCCCCTTCTCTGCCCCTCCTTCCTTTCTAGCCCCTAGCAACCTCTAGTCTCTTGTCTACTTTGTGACGAACTACTTTTGCTTCTACAAATGAGTGAGAACCTGTGATTGACTTTCTCTGCCTAGCTTATTGCCCTTAACATGATGTCCTCAGATTTCATTTATGTTGCTACAAATGACAAGAACATCCTTTTACAGATGACTCATATTTCATTATCAATTATAACATTTTAATCCACTCTTCTCTTGATGAACATCTTTATTGATTTCCTATTTTTGCTATGGTGAATCTTGTTGTAATAAACATGAGGGTTCTGATCTATCTTTGATAAAATGTCACCATTACCTTTGGATATATACTCAGTATTTAGACTGTTGTCTCATATGGTAAATCTATTTTCAGGGTTTTTAAATTTAAAAAGATCTTCTTCTTTGTCTTCACCCTCCTCACTATCACTCTTCCCCACCTCCTCCATCCTTTGGAGAGCATTCAGTACTGTTTTCCATAATCCATGAATGTTAGTATTCAGGCCTCTGTACTGGCCTGTCCTTGGGGTTCTGACAGCACATGCACTCAGCTGCAACCACTGAGAGCACCACCTGTGCATATTCACTAGTTCCCTTTTAAAACAACCCTGCCCACCTCCCATCCTCCTCTCTACCTCTCTCCCTTCCTCTCTTTTCTCTGTCTCCCCCTCTTTCCTTTCTCCTCTCTCCTGCTGCTCCTGTCTCCAGAGGCTGGTCTCTCCCCTTCACTTTTCCCGGTTTTTGTTGTTGTTGTTTTGTTTTGTTTTTATTTTTGTTGTTGCTGTTGTTTTGGTTTTTCAAGACAGAGTTTCTCTGCGTAGCTTTGGAGCCTATCCTGGCTCTCCCTCTGTAGCCCAGGCTGGCCTCAAGCTCACAGAGATCCACCTGCCTCTGCCTCCTGAGTGCTAGGATAAAAGGCATGAGCCCCAAACACCTGGCACTTTTCCCACTTTTCTGATCCCTTCTCCTAATAAAAAAAAATTCCTCTGCGTGAACCCTGTCACATGGTATCTTTCTCTTGCACACTGCTTTTCTTAAATTACAGCTTTGGTTCCCTGACCAGGAAGGCTCTCCTGGTGTCTCCTCCTGCACACAGGTGGTTTGAGGCAAGCCGGGACTCTGGAACCTGGTTAACATAAGACAGCTTCGCTTCTCCAGATTGCTGAGTCCTTCCGTCCAAAATCATCATGACTGGTGAGCTACTCCACCTTGCCTACCTTGGGCTATTCCCACGAGTGAGAACTCATCTCGTCTCTCTAGCGTGGTTTCTCGCCATTGGCCTCGATAAATCCTGGTATCAAGCAAACACCGGTCTCCCAGACTCTGAGCCCTTGGCCCACACCTTTTATGTGGCAACCCACGGGGCTGTGCCAGTCTGGGGCCTTCTGGTCCCTCGCCCCCGGCCCCTTGATTGATGAATCACCGAAGCAGCGTGTGCCTTTCTCACTGGATAAAAGCCACTGGATCCTGTTCGCCTCACTCATGAGGAATAAGCCTATCAAAACTTAGCTTCCCAACACTTTGTGATCTCTTCATGCTGGGACCCTGCCCACCTGCTCCACCTTCAGTAGATCTGCTCCCTTACGCCTGCAACAAATCTGCTGTCTCGTTCACTGATGGCTTTGCCTTCCATGCAGTACCAACAATTGGGTCTCTAGTGGGGTTTTCCACTTCTGACCATTCCCCTGGATGTGAGGCTTCCTTTCCCCAGCAGAGTCCTTTCCACATCTTCTGGCTTTTCCTAAAGTCCTGGTACCAGGTGACCGTGTCTCTCTCTGGCTCAGACTCCTTGGCCCCCACTCACTGGGGGGCCAAAATCAAATTTCTCTGGATTCCTGGGATGCTAGGAATTGCAGATCCTTGTGTCTTCCTTCTCTGCTTCACTCTTGGGAGCTGTGTCACCACCTATACCTCCCTATTCCCATTGTTTTTTTTTTTTTTGGAGACCCACTGACCATTCCCAACCAGCTAGTGTTGCAATTCTACCAGCTGTTGGCCATAGAGCTGGAGGTTCAAGGCTACCACACATGTCCAGAGGTTCAAGGCTACCACACATGTCCAGAGGTTCAAGGCTACCACACATGTCCAGAAGTTCAAGGCTACCATACACGTCCAGAGGTTCAAGGCTACCACACATGTCCACGTGATGCTGTGGCAATGGGAAAGGATCAGGTACTTTAAGCCCTAGCCAGTCGATTTGGATCCAACAAGGATGGCATTTTGCCAGGTCCAGGAGGCACCTAATGGCTCAGAAGAGCCTGGGCAGTGAAGTGAAACAGCCAGGTACTCAAGGATGTGGCCAGCACCCCAGCAATCCCAGGTCTCTCAAAAATGAGCAATATCCCCCAGGTTAGCAAGAAGTAATCTTGAGAACACAGAGTACTCATCCTACCTTACCTGCTACCCCTTTCTAACTCCTCACCTTTTTTTAATAAATAAAAAGGAAGCAATGTTAGTATTCAGGCATCTGTATTGGCCTGTCCTTGGGGTTCTGACAGGATACGCCCTCAGCTGCAGCCACTAACAGCACCACCTGTGCGTATTCACTATGCTCCTTTTTAAAAGGGCCCTGCCCACCTCCTATCCTTATCTCTCTTTCTTTCTCTGTCTGTTCCCTCCTCTCCTGCTGCTTCTGTCTCCAGAGGTCAGTCTCCCCTCCCTTCCCTTTCCCCTTTTTATGATCCCTTTCCCTAGTTAAAAAAAAAAGCCTCTGTTTGAACCCTGTTGAATGACATCTTTCTCTCCCAGGCTGCTTTTCTTAAATTACAACAGTGATGGTTATGTTAACTTACACTTCTATTGACAGTGTGTAAGACCTTTCACTTCTCATCATTTCTGCTATTTTTATATTATCATTTGACCATATTTGTAGGGATATTAGAACATTTACCCATTTAAAACCCAGATTACTAGAAATTTTTCTGTCCTTTGAATTCCTTATATATCCTGGGTACTAGCTTCTTGACAGATGAAGCTTGCAGATATTTTCCTCATTCTTCAGTTTGTCTCTTGACATTGTTGATCATTTCCTCAGCTGTGAAACGCTTCCTAGTATGATCTAACCCCATTTGTCTAGCTTTGCTTTTGTTACCTATACTATCTAAGATCTTGTTTGCTCTCTACTTAGGTACCAAGGTTTCCCCTATGGTTTCATCCAGTAGTTGCATAGTTTGGGATCTTACATTAGGTCTTTGACCCACTTTAAGTTTTCTTTTGTTTTTGGTTTGATTTTGATGTTTTTGTTTGTTTCCTTGGTGTTTCTGCTTGTTTTTCAAAACAGGGTGTCTGCGTGTAGACCTGGCTATCCTGGAACTTACTCTGTAGTTCTATAGTGGAACTGGCTTCCAATTCTGATTTACTTTCCTCTGCTCCCAAGTGCTGGGATTAAAGGCATGAGCCACCTGGCAAGTTGGATTTTTTATAAATGGGGCTGTCTAGCTTCAGTCTTCTACAGATATATGTTCAGTGTTCGTTGATTTGTGTTCTCTCTCTCCCTTTCCCTCTCACTCCCTTTCTCTTCCCCCTCCCGTGTGTGTGTGTGTGTGTGTGTGTGTGTGTGTGTGTGTGTGTGTGTGTGTACGCATGGGCACACGAGGAGGTCATTCATCAGGCTCCATCTCCCTTTTTTGACTGGGTCTCCTACTTGCCTGAAATCACCAAGCAGGGTAGACTTCCTACCAGGAAGTCCCGGGGTTAAGCAGATCCCTCCACCTCTCCCTGTCCCCCTGGCACACCAAGCACATACTACCACACTTGGCTTCTTAAAAGTGGGCTTTGGGGATTGAGCTCAGGTCTCATGGTTGCCGGGAAGCACATGACCTACTGAGTGATCCCCAGTTTCCAGCACCACTTATTTTTAGAGATGGTCCCTCTAGAGTATGTGTTTTTGTTGCCTTGGAAAACACAGCTGGCTGTAAGTATGTGGAATCACCTCTGCGTTTCTCTCTGGGCCATCGGCCTTGTACATGCTTATATGTCTGCCCCACACTTGTTATCACCCTAACTTTGTAGTGTGTCTTCAGTCTTGGGCTGTGATATCCTTGCCTTGTTCTTTTTGCCCAGGATTGTTTTCTGGTGGTTTTGTGCTTCTAAATGAGTCTTGTGATTCCCCCCCCCTCCACTAGCTCTGTAAACAAGGTAATTCCTGTTTGATGGGATTGCATCAAATCTCAGATTACCTTGGGTAGTGTGGACATCTTAACATTATTTCTTCTGATTCATGAAAATAATATGTCTCCTGTCTTCTAAATTTGCATTATGATAATCTTTTACTTTCTGCATTAAATTTATTTCTACCTGTCTTACTAATTTTGAGGATGTTGTAAATGGAATGATTTCAATGCCCTTTTTTTAGCCTGTTTGTTTGAAGCATATAAAATACCACTGGATTTTGTAGAATAATTTTATATCCTCCAACTTTACTGTACTTATCAATGGCAGCAGTGTTTTGGTAGAAACTTTAGAGATTTTACATACAAGGTCGTGCTACTGGGGAACAGAACCCTTTTACCTCCCTGCTTTCGATTTATCTGCCTTCCTTTTCACCATTTAGTATGACCTTTGCTGTGGGTTGTCATATATTGTATGGACATTGTATGTATATATTGTCATATACTGTATATTCCTTCTGTATTTCATTTGATGATAGTTTCTTAGTTTATTTTTGTTTGTTCCTCAATGTCTTATTTAAGGTCCATGTCCCCAAGGACAAGGGGGCACAGGTGAATGGCTGTCTAGAGTCTCTTTTGTTTCCAGATCCACAGTACAGATCTAAGGATCAGTACAGATTTATGCCTCCTGTCACTCTGAAGAGGGGTACTCCACTTATTTGCTGCATGTTGTGTACCAAAACCACCCAGATGTGATCACTTCTTTCCTTCCCCCCTCACCCAGCCTGGCATCCCTGCTTGTCTGCCCTGCTCTGACTCTCTCCAGCTCCCCTCAGTTTCCCTCTTGTACTCCTCTCCATCCATGATGCATTTATCTCTGGTTTCTGGAATAAGAAGATGCATCCTTTAGTCTGTCAGGTTGACCAGAAACCTTCCTCTACCCAGGTTGTTCTGGGCCATCCTTTCCCTACCCTCTGTGTCTACCTGGCATTCCTCCTTAACTTCAGGTCTCAGCCCTGATGTGCTTACTAAAACCCAGCCGCTGTCTCTCCCCTTTGCAATGGGGGTTTCACCATGGGATTACAGAGCGCACTGCACTTGCCCAGTCTTGCATCTGCTGTGTTTGTGTTGTGACTGCTGGTGCCCTCTGCCACCAGTGGTGACCCTCTCCTTTTCAAGGCAGGTCAGAAGACTTGGTGATGATTAAAGTCCAACCAACAGGCAAGCCAGCAAAAATACCTACCCTTTTAAACATGAGATAAATTAATCAATATTCTCAGGATAAATGAACAAGAAGAGACAGATGACAATATTGATTCTTAAAATAGTGGGTAATGAAAAAGAAAAATAATGACAATAAATTGGGTACTCACCTTTTGCCAGAAAAACATGAGCTTGAGATGATATACAGTGATATATGATAGGAATTAATGTGTAATTCATAATATATAACTAATGTTAACAAATATGTAATTATAACATTTAAATTCTAAATTGTGCATTTAGGTAATTCAATTCCCCAGTTTACAAATGAGTACATTTGGACTCCAAAGACAAAGATACTCACCTAACTAGGAAGTACTTGGAGTTTCAGAGCACATACTTCTTCATTTATATCACACTAGTGCCTTCAGCAATATGTGACAATACATGAATCGCGCATTGGAATAATTAAACTGAGAGGTAGTTTATTGTTGAACTGACTGTATGAGCCCCTTTACTGGTTTGTTATTCCAAAGCCCAGGCCTTTTTCACACTGAATAAATCTTGGCAGACCACTGCAGAGACAGAGATTCAAGACAAGAACCCAAATTCTGGGAGCATGCAGTGCAATTGGGAAAACAATTAATTGCCAGCCTTGCCTAGACCCTCAGTGAAAGTGGTGAAGGAAGCACACTAATTGGGCAAGTAGCAATTAGCCAACTGTGTGCCTTCCCTGCATCCACAGCTTGGTTGGTGTCTCTTTCTACACAATGTCCTTAGCTCCTGAGGTCGCTGAGGTCCCATCATTGGCTCACTTTGTTTCTGTCTGCTACAGTACAGACATGCTTACTTGCTCCGGCCTTCCCAGTTCCATGGGGAATTGTGTGACTACTCTGACAAGGAAGTTGAAGACTGTGTTACCAGTCGACCATGCAGAAAAGTGCAATGTGAAGGCTTTGTGTGTGCACAGACAGGTATGAAGGAGTCTGGGAATTGGAAGAGAAGATTGAAAAGCAAAGAGTAGTGTGTGATGGAGGAGGGACAGACATATAGGGTTCATGATCAGGATTGCAGGACAGAGAAATCCCTTACTATAAGCCTCAAACCTCCTTTTCTGTATATCATCCAAGAAAGCATGCCTATGATAAGGTAGTAGCATTACTATCCCTATTTTTCATCCCAAGAAATTGAGGCTCAGAGAGGTTACTTTCAAAAAACCATTGAGCAGGTGCATAGAGGATCTTCAGGTGAGAATCTGGAAGCTTGGCTATATTCACTGACTTTAGAAGTTACATGTGCTGGAGTCAGAGGTCCTACGTCAGACTAAATCTGACTGTATGATCTACACGATCTTATTTAACCTCTTTGGATTTTGATTGCCATAATAGTAATTAAGTGTTACGTTAGTTATTTTCTATTGCTAAGATACCATGACCAAGGTAGCTTATAGAAGGAAGAATTTAATTGGGCTTACAGTTAGAGGCCATGATAGTAGAACAGAGGCATGGCAGCAGAAACAGCTGAGAGCTCACATCTTGATCTGAAAGCTGTAGCCAGAGAGAGCTCACTCAAAATGTCAAGAGTCATTGGAAACTTCGAAGCCCACTGCTAGTGACATATGTCCTCCAACAAGGCCACACCTCTTAATCTTTCCCAAATAGTTCCACCAATTAGAGACCAATTATTGCAGCACATGGGCCTAAGGGGAGGGGGGTCATTCCTATTCAAACTACCACAGGGTGATGTTAATACAAGTTGGTCATAAGCATCATGTATTATGATGGAGGTAAAAGATCTCTGTCACATATTAGCTCTGCTACTGATCTCAGAGCCCTTGGGTGGAGTAAAATACGTCCAAAGCTGAAACAGATGAGAGAGTGATCACCGTCACTCAGCAACGAGAGGCTTTGGAAGCATGGGCCTGGTCATTTGTATGTCTGCATCAGTGAGTCTATCATAAGTCCAAATGTGTGATGGAGTCAGTGAAAAATGTTGTTCTTCACCAAGAAGGAAAGTGAATATGGAACCCACATGGGAAGATGGACAGAAGGAAGGAAGGAAACAGCACATGAATGAATGCTTCTCTACTGCAGAAACACTGGTTTTCTCAACTTATTCACTAATCTGATCCTAGTATATCTATGTGTCCCCATTTCTTCAAGTCTCTCGCATAAACAGAGATATGATGCCCTAAAGTGTCTGGAGGAAGTTCTATTCATGATACCCATGTGGATTGTAGTCTAGAGCCTCCAAAAGACAGGATTACCAGAGCGATTTCTAGGACTTACTGCAAATGCAAAATTCCATCCAGTAAACCTGAGAGCCTTTTTTTTTACAGTGTACCCAAGGACTCACTATGGCCAGTGTTCCATGGTTTTGCCTAGAGCCATCATGGCTATTCATGTGGGCTTTACTTTAAATGCCTTGTAAGAAACATTTGAAGACCAGACTTATTTTTCTGCCTTTTATAACCGAAGGACATTGGTTAAAAATGACCCAGTATGTCTAAGGAAGCAGAGCCAGCTGTCTTGTGGGCTTGGTCTCCCCAGAAATGTCCACATATGAAAGAAAGTGAAGTCCATGAGACAAAGTCATAGGGGAAGGAAAGATGGTGGTGCTGAAGGCAGTGTGTGTTAGGGAAAGAATTCCCATTAGGCAGGTTAAAGTCCGAATTGTGCTTCAGATCTTTAACGTGTGCCTGGCTCTTCCAAGCACTAACTCTAGCTATGATTGGCTTTTGGAATGTTTTCTATGGTGAATTCTATTTTAGTCACTCACAACTGTGTCATGGCGAGAGAGCTGTGATGACTTCTCTGCTTTACAGATGAGGTTGGATCACAGATGCAAGATAGCTTAGCTGGTGCCATTCAGAGAAACCACCCACCACCTCTTCCTAGCCTTGGTGGCAGGAGGAAGGGTACTTCCAGACTTACCAACCTGGCTGTCCACCTATTCCCTGCTTCTTAGGCACACTGAGTTCTCCTTCACAGGTAGTTTCAGATAATCTCTCCTCAGTGCTTTCACAACTGTGGCACTGAGCTCCTTGGGGGACAACAAGGGGATGAACTGTTAGTATCATTTTCAGACAAGCTTGATGCAGGAAGACTGATCAGAATAGTCACTAAAGGGCTGGCCACATGCAATGCTTTTCCTCTTATCACCATCATGTGAGTGTGTGGTCCTCTCTCTCCATCCCAGGGAGATGTGTGAATCGCAGACTCCTCTGCAATGGAGACAATGACTGTGGAGACCAATCAGATGAAGCAAACTGTAGGAGGATTTATAAAAAATGTCAACATGGAATGGAACAGTACTGGGCGATTGGCAATCTGGCCAGCGGGTGAGTTGCTGCAGTCATGCTGGGTGGATGAGAAGGCCCCATCTTAAATGGAATTCTGAAGGATGGAATAGAAAGGCTGTGGTGTAAGTAGATATCTTTTTTAGGATCAGTTCTATGTTGTCCGGAAGCACATACCATGAATAGACACATGTAGGTCACAGGAAGGTTGGCATAGGAACACTAAGACTATGCTGGGGTGAGCCTTGTTCTTTTTTTTTTTTTTTTTTTGGTTTTACGAGACAGGGTTTCTCTGTTTTGGAGGCTGTCAGTCCAGCCTGGCCTCGAACTCACAGAGATCCGCCTGCCTCTGCCTCCCAAGTGTTGGGATTAAAGGCGTGCGCCACCAACTCCCGGCTGTGAGCCTTGTTCTTAACTCTCACAATTTGCTGTATCAGAGGAATTCTAAGCACAGCTCTTGAATCCTATAGACAGCTTAAGTCATGGGTTTTATCTGGTTCTATCCCTAGTTCACACTCTCCACTATGCTGAAAAGAATGGATTTCTGAGCACTTTGTGAAGCATTGGGTTTCCAAGATAGGTCTGTTGTCCATGCATCTCTCCACTTCTGGGGGGGATATAAGCATTGGTCCAGTGTTCTGTAAGGTCAAAGGAGCAAGGCCAGAAAGAGTCAAACAGGTCCAGCATCCATCCTATTTACTTGCTATGCCCCACAGCATCTAAGCCTGCAAATGCAAGAGTGAGAGCATGTTGTTCTGCATGATCTTAAGAATCGCTATAAATGATTCCACTGGAAAGAAAGGCAGTGAGGGTAAATAGAATTTGTCTGCTCCCTAGACAGCTTATCTTGACCCTTAAAGGTCATCATTAGAGAGAGAGACTTTTCACTGAGATGGGAGCTCCTCTCAGGGCTGAGATCCTCAAAAGTTAAGTGAGCTCCAGGGGTCACAAAGCTAGAAAGAAACAGAGAAGCATTCAAGGTGACAGTATCAGAGTCCAACCAAACTGATAGCAGGGATGCTTCCCCTGGAAGGAGCAGAGCACCCTGGCAGATAAAAGGTCTAGAGACGGGATTGTACAGATGTGTTGGGAGAGGTCTGAGATGAAAATACTAAGCTGGTGAGACTAGAGAAATGACTCAGCAGTTAAGGACTCTGGCTGCTCTTGCAAAGGACCTGGGATCAAATCCCAGCACCCACAATGTGGCTCATAACTGTCTGAGGGAATTTGGTACCCTCTTCTGACCTCTACACACCACACCAGGCATGCACATGGTGCACAGACATTTATACAGCCAAAACACATAAAATAAAATAACACAATTTTAAAAAAGAGGGTGTTGAGTTGGTATGAACCAGAATCCCAGGGTCTTGCTTGTCGACCAGGAAGTTTAAGTTTCATTCATTGGGATCTGCTAGCTTCCAACAGAGGTGACACAACCCCGAATCCTAAGCTTTCCATCCTATCTGTGCCTTCCAGGATAAACCTGTTCACAAACACACTTGAGGGCCCAGTTCTTGATCACCGGTATTATGGTGGTGGATGCTCCCCCCACTACATCCTGAACACCAAGTTTAGGAAGCCATACAACGTGGAAGGCTACACTCCACAGGTAAGGAACAGCCAGGTAGCTGCTGCTAGCAGCGAGGGACTCACTGACTGAGCACTCTGAAGCCTGCTGACTGTGAAGCTTTTATGTACCCCTTTCTCATGGAGCCCCAATATCTTCTGGTATCACGTGTGTGCACCCTAACACTTGTGATCACAGTATGCTATGTACAGCAATAGCTACGGGAGCTGTAATAGCAGTAATGTTAGTGTGGTAGTATCAATAGCTATGCTAAAGGCAGAGCTTGGGATTTTGTGCTTGCTACACAGTACTAAATGCTCAGTGCCTCTATTGTCCTATCTTTATACTAAAAGTTATAAGCTTCCTCCCTGAAGTGATATGGTCAGTGAGATTATGTGGCTGAGTGGACAGCCACAGAAAGTCACAGGAGTCACAGAGAGTCCTCAACTCATGCTAAAACTTCTTCCCATCATTACCATGCCCAGACACACCAATCATGCCAATCACACCAATCACACGAATCACAGAGTATGGAATACACCATGTAGATACACTACCAGAACCCTTGCCATCTAATGGGAAGATGTTTTACTTTAGGCTAAGCTCCTGTTCCACTCTGCCTTCAAGTCTCTCATCTGTGAAGTTAGAGGGTTGACTGAGGAATTCATCTAGGTAGTGGTTTCCCTGACCAAAAATGCATAGTTCTAAAGGTTGGGCAACTTCCTTTCTCCTCATCCTCTTTTCTGCTCCTTTTTGTAACACATACTGGCCATCCAAAGGAAGAAACAGCCGAGGACTAAACAGTCCTTCCATCAAATTGTCTAGTCCATTCTCTCAAACTCTGCTTTCCAAGGACACATTTGCAGGAGCCAGATCCACACCCAGACATCATGTGGAGCGTTCAGCTTCTACTCACCTTAGCAAGCATTGGGTGAAGGCTCTCACGGGCTCCTGTGTGAGCCCAGTCCTCAGGACAGGACTAAGGAAAGGGACTACTGTTATCTCCATTTTACAGTGCCAGTGTTCCAGAAGACCCCATTTAGGCCATGCCTGCATCATTACTGTTCCCTTCCCATGCTGTGGGCTTTTATAGAAATGACGGGTATCCAGACGCCCATGAGAATGGAGGTGGAAATAACTGGTCACTCCAGGTCCGTCAGGTGCTGCCTCTGGCAGGTCCCCTGTGTAAGAACAATGAGCTCTCTTGAGTGTTCGCAGACAAATCGATCTCCTTCACTCCCCTGCTGCTGCCTCAGTCCCACATCATTAGTGAACCACACTCCTCATGGCACCTGCTTGGCTTGTGACTCCACATTTAGATGTGCGCATTCCAGCCTAACTGGCATGCTATCCCAGAATGACCACCCCACTCCTTCCTCTCTTGGCACACACTTGTAGTAAGCCACAGTTGAAAACAAAAGACTCAAAAGCCTCCATCCATAGTCCAGAAAGTTCTTTTACAATACCTGCCCATTTCTCTCACTCTCATGCCTTCTGGCAAATCTACACTGGCAACCAGGAACTTACTGAGACCCTCCCACTTTGTGTCATGCACCAATCCACAGCCCTGGACACCTCCACACCCTGCATGCCTGCCGATTGAAACCCCAGTCAAACTCCAAGTTGAGTATGAACTGTAGTATTGAATATGTTGGTCTCTCTGGCTGGTGCAGGGGTACTGAGGTAGGGATGCAAGCTGTTCCTGACAGTTTTGTTTTCAGAGTCGCTAGCACAGCTAGAACTAGTGGCTAGTCACTAGAACACAGTGAATGCCTGATGACAATTCCAACCAAAGCCTATTAAAAAGCATGTTTTCTTTTCTCCATATAGACCCAAGGCAACTATCAATTTGCACTTACAGAATATGAATCATATTCAGATTTTGAAAGCAATGTGACAGAGAAAGAAACCAGCAAGTCTAGTTTCAAGTTTGGTTTTAAAATAATTAGCAAGTTTGAGTTTGGATTTAAAGAAGACAGCAACAAAGGCAGACATTACATCAGCAGACTCAAACGATTCTCGCACACTGTAAGTACCTTTCTGAGGCTTTCATTTGCTTACTATTAAGTAATGTTTTCATTTCCCCTTTGAGAAGTTCATAAATGTATTTTAATCATATTCATTCCCTTTCCCCAACTCCTCCCAGGTGCTCCCCCACGCCCCTTCCTACCCAATTTAAAGTTCTCACTTTCTCTTGAAACATATCAGTGTATTGCTTTTAAATGTGTACATGTTATTTTATGCTCACAGATGTGTCTGAATTCCACATTATCCCTGGTTCAAGCCAACAAGGTTTCTGTTGTCCTGAAAATCCACTCATAGATAGCATGTTAATCTCACATTGACTTACTTTTAGGAAACATCAAGCCTAGTAATGTCATTTTCTTTTTGTAAGCTTTTTCCTTTGGTTTTCAAATAGTTTAATGTGCAGATTTGCCCCCACTATAATTTGACTTTTGTTTGACATAACTGTCTGGAAAGTGACCCCACTCTTCTGTGACTTCCTAGATGTCTGGTGGGGTATCCTTGCCCTCACCCAGTCTTTCTCCTACTTTATTTCTACCTCTTATCATTTCCCTTTGTCTTGTGTTCCTCTGATACACAGTCACTTGACTCCTACCTTCCCCCAGAGATATTCTGAATTACTAATCTAATCATTGTCTATTCCTTGGTGACTACAATGTAAGTCAAAGCCAGAATAGCATCTATAGGTAAGGGAAGAGATTGAGTTAATGTGTTAAAGAAACAAGTGGTAGGCAGATTTGAGACTTTGAATTCTGGAGTAAAAAAGGTACATATTTTTTTACTAGTTACTGAGAATTTGTACTCAGGAGTGATATAACAGGTAATTAGTTTAAGGAGATATTAAAGAAAAGAGATCAAGACCTGAAGTATACAGTGATTTATATGAAAACAAAAGAAACCATGAGAGTCTCCAAAATGCCCCACTACAAATATAGTCAGCAGCAGGAAACAGGTGGTCAGCATTAATTAGTCTGTAACTGTCCTCCATCTTATAGGCCAGGGGCCTTTGGGGGACAGATCTGTTTCCTTCATCTCTAGACAGAATGGCACATAGTAGGCACTCACTGCAGAGCTGTAGGAATGGAGCACAGGAACTGACTTTTTTATGAGGAAAGCTGTAACACCATGTCCTGCCTTCTCCTCCTCCCCCATCCTTAACTCACCTCCCTTATTCAAATAGCCAGTTTGGCAATGCTAGTATGTATATAACCAAACATGGGCCTTGGGTCCCAAGACAAATTTCACAAGGCTCTTTTTGTTCAGTTAGATGTATTATCTCAAAAGCAGTTATCTTTATGGGTTACAGTGTGATAATTTGGCCCATGGATGCAAGGTATAATGACCAAATCAAAGCGATTAGCATTTCTGTCTCTTTGATTTGTTACTTTTTTTTTGTTAGGCACCTTCAAACTTACCTCTTGGAGCTCTTTATAAAATATATAACAAATTGTTCTTGCCTTCATATTCTCAGTCTAGTGGGAGATGTAAGCTTGTAAACAATAAATCACTCAATCATGTATATCAGCTGCAATATAGCACAATGGTAGTTATAAAGGAAATATGAGTGGTGTGTTCTGCAAGCTTAGAAAAGGAGAGGGTACCTGGGACTTCCAGGGATGGTATAAAATAGGCAAGAGCCAAACAGAGAATTGAAAGACAAGTAAACTCACGTCCAGAAGAAAGGGAAGAACTTAGAAGCAGCAGGAACGATATCTACATGGTTACTTCACGCAAGTTTGGGGATCAGTACAGAGTTGGATTAATACTGATACACAGTGTGGCTGATGAAAAATGGACAGACATGGAAAGTAACATTGTCAGGGTGGCTGATAGCAGTCAGAGCACTGGTGGATGGAATGTGACGGCTATGTAGCCAAAGTAAGAGAGTTGATTATGTCTGAAGGCAATAGTGAGCTAATGCACCCATGTTTGGTTTTGTTTTGTTTTATTTTGTTTTGTTGCCCAGAGGAGTATTATCATACAGTTATCAGAGGTTCAGGAGCTTGACTCTAACTATAGAACTGAAAGTATATTAGCAAGAGAAGGGAGAGCAGAGAGGAAGTTTTATAACAATATGTCAACTGAAATAACAATCAGAAAATACTGTCAGAGAATACCTTCATGTATTTGGGAACCACAGAGTATCACAATGGGAGTGAGCATGCCATTGTAAGCTATGTGTGTTCTCAAGGGTATTAAAGCAAGGAAAGTTTTTAAAGGCAAAAATGAGGAGAATTGCAAACAAAAAACCTTGGCCAAGGGTTACTAACACCATTCTGAAGTTGGGCAGTAACTGGTCGAAGGCCCTTGAAGTCGTGTATTTTTGTGGATGGTTTCTTTGACTGTCTTCCATGGCAGCTCCTATTATTAGACAATCCTGAAAGAGCACCCTTCCTTCATAGCTTCCAGGCCTGATGTATTTTTTACTTACCTTTAGTTGGAGCTGACACAGTCAACTCCATTTTGACTCTGACAACTTTCATAAAGCTGCAGAGAGGAGACAGAGCCTAGGACATTTGGGAAGATGTGAGCCAAGTGCCCAGTGACTGCTTAGGCTGTTACAGTGGGAGAAAAGGAGTTCTGAACCAATTGTCAGGACTAGAATGGGGTGACTGCAAACCAGGTCAGACCGAGCTGGGGGTTTTAGTGACAGTGCATGCAAGGCTGAATGCTCTTTAGAGCTTGGTGGAATGGGTTGGAATAGAGTACCCCCCCATTTCCACCATCCCTGCTTTCCCCCATTAAAGGACGTAGATATACCTCCATACAAGGGCCAGTCACCTCACATGTGGTGGCACTGAGATCTCATCTGGCAGCATCAGCCTTCAGTCTGTGCCATACCTCCAGAGGATGCCAGACTTTTCCTGGGAGGACCAGAGCAAGAAATTGAGGCTTTACATAATACACAAAGGTCTCTGTTGCACCTACACTTTTCCACTGCAGGGTGACAGACACTGTAGACAATATGTAAATGAATGAGAATGATAGTGTTTGCAAAACAGGCAGTAGATATGTCCTACAGGCCATGGTTTACTGACACCTGCCACAGTCACCTTCCCAAGTACTATGTTAGGTTTTTGTTCTCAAATGGCACAGGCCAATGTTTGAGGCTTAGCAAATTCTACCCTCATCTTAGTGGCCACAAGTGGCCATATTCACTCTTTAGTGCAGGTTTCTGATTCTCCTTCACTATCTTCATTTGCTCCCGTAATGAGATGAGATCAGCGCTCATCCAAGCCAAAAGGAATGCTGGAATATTTATGAGAATTGAAATTTCTCAAAGGGACTGTCTTCCCTCAGCTATCCTAAAGGAATCACAAGCATGATGACCCCAGGCAAGAGCAGCGGGTGGTATGTGCAAAGTTCATCTTTCCATGCACGATCGCTAACTGTAAATGTCTGTCTTTCCTGTGCTGGTATTTCATCTAGAAAAGCAAGTTTCTGCACGCACGCTCTGTCCTTGAAGTGGCCCACTACAAGCTGAAGTCAAGAAACCTCATGCTCCATTATGAATTCCTCCAGAGGGTGAAGAGCCTGCCCCTAGAGTACAGCTACGGGGAGTACCGAGATCTCCTTCGTGACTTTGGGACTCACTTTATCACCGAGGCCGTGCTTGGGGGCATTTACGAGTACACACTTATCATGAACAAAGACATCATGGAGCAAGGAGGTGCACTGCCCAAGGGACACACCTATTCTTGCCAACACAGGAGGGATAGTGATAGTCTTACATAAATGTTTGGGGGGGAGAGCCTTGAACCATGTCCCCATGTTCTGCCCCAGACCTAGCTGTACCTCCAGAGGGGTCTTGGTCTTTATGCTTCTCTCTTTGGCATGGCCATGTCCGTCATCCCAGTGCAGCTCTCTCTTTTGGTGACCTTTTGTTCCGTAGCTACTGCATCCAATCAGATCCAAGCTCAAATGCTGAGTTCTGTATTTAACCTGGATCACTGGGTCAATGTACCTGTTTTCTTCTGTAGTTTTCACATCTCAGAAATAATTCCACCATCCAGCCAGAGGCACAAGCCAAAAGCTTTTCTCTATAAGTTTTTTCAGATCTACCTCCAAATTTCCTTTTCATTTGTCATGCGTTTATGTATATGTGTATGTACAGCGTGGATTTTTTGCATGTGTGAGCACATGTATGTGTGGGTTTGTGTGTACATGGTTACATATGCATATTCAGGCCTAAGATTGATTCCAGGAATAATACTCTGTTCTTCCACAGTAATATTTGGAGCAGAGTCTCTCATTCAATCCCAGAGCTTGTCAATATGGCTGGTCTCCCTAGCCAGCCTGCTGTGGGGATCCCCGGTCTCCACGTTTAGGGGTTGCAATTATAGGCAGGCCACCGTGACCACCTGGCCTTCACATGGATTTCTGGAGATCCAAACTCTTGTTACTTATTTTCTAAGACAAGCATTCTGCCTGCCCATTTACTATAAGCCCTAGTCCTTATGTTGGGTTTTACAGTTACTACCATAGGCTCATCCTATGACCATTGGCTTCATTCACACTTGAATTTTAATGTGAATATGAATTACAGGCAAGTCTTTGCAGGGACTGATCTGATCCAGTAGGATCGAGGCAAGATCCAAAGTTCTGTCTTTCTACCAACCTTGGAGGTGATGCCTAAGGTGCTGGTCCACACATGACACTTTGACTAGTGAGGTTTCATATGACTGTGGTTCACCATATGCATGGTCAATCCCAACGCTCCTCTCCTTCTCCTCCCATCTTTCCTATAGACATTCCAGATCTTCCCAGCTGTCTTCAACTGCCAGTCTAGGCTGCAAACCCTGTTTTCCAATCCAGTATTCTGTCTGAGGACTGAGCACTTGTCTGGTTTTGAGACACAGGTTCCATCAGCAGAGCCAGGACCTAGTCAGTTAGAATTCCAATGTTCTTACAAGAGGTCATAGAATGTAAATTCCTGTCTTCAGGATGTGGGTCTACCAAGATCAAAGGTACCATCCTCCAAAAGAATTGTTCCAAAGGTTTCTAAAACTGTCCCCCTATAAACAGCCTAGAGAATCATATAATTCAGAGAAATATATAATTGATGCCACCCTCAGAATTTCTCCAGAGGACTGGCAAAGAAAGAGAGAGAAAAACCTGCCATGTTTCTTGCACAGTTAGCTAATTTGCATGGCCATAGAGGCTGTTCCTTGTAGCACCCGTCATCTCAATGAAATTTGTATTTTAAGGACTGGAGAAAATTCTGTTCTGCATTAATAATGCTGGAAAGTTTAGTAGTCAACAAGCCTCTCTTTCTCAGCCAGATTTAAAACAATTTAGAAAGCTCTTATATGCAATTTTAGGAAACTCCGGGGAGGAACATAACTTGGGGAGAATTTTAGGGCAAAGAGGTAGAAGGGATCCTCAAATAACTGGGGTAAATTTGTGACTCACTCCAGGTACTTTCAGACTTATATATGCATTAATTCAACCAATTAATGTAGACTTTCTCCTCCTTTATCAAAGATCAAAGAAATGTATCCCAGGGAGGGCAGGGGGTGGAGCTGCCTCGTACCTATTGGAGCAGTCACTAGTTACCTGTTCTGGCTAGTCTTATGTCAACTTGACACAGCTAGAGTCATCTGAGAGGAGGGACCATCACTTAAGGAAATGTCTCCATATGACCCACCTGTAAGGCATTCTCTTAATTAGTGATAGATGGGGGAGGGCCCAGCCCATTGTAGGTGGGGCCAGCCCTTAGCTGGTAGTCCTGGATTCTATAAGAAAGCAGGTTGAGCCAGCCATGGGGAGAAAGCCAGTAAGCAGCACTCCTCCATGGCCTCTGCCTCAGTTCCTACCTCAAAGTTCCTGTCCTGCTCAAGTTCATATCCTGACTTTCTTTGATGGTTAACTGTGGTATGGATGCATAAGCTAATAAACCCTTTCCTTCCCAACATGCTTTTGGTCATGGTGTTTCGTCACAGCAACAGTAACCCTAACTAGGAGAGTACCTGATAAGGAGTCTGGTTTTTAGAGGATAGCTCTGAACATGGGCCCCCATTGGAGGCTGCAACTATCCTCAGAGACCGAAGAGGATGCTAGAATGGGAACTTGGGTCTTATCTCTGTGGGATCTCTCCCCTGCCTCCTATCCTTCTTGTCCCCAGGTTGAGGACATGTTTATTTGAACCCACAACTATATGACACCAGGAAAGGTTAGGGTTAGAGTCAATCAGAGGAAAAGGGACAGAGTGAATGACCTAGTAGATCATCGGCATCTTTTCCTTCTTCCTTCAGATTACACTTTTGACAATATTTCTGCCTGTGTTGGAAAACAGTTCCAAATTGGTGGTGCCATCTCCAAAGTCTACCTCAAATTGGGTGTGTCAGAAAAGAAATGCAATGATATTCTGAATGAAATCAAAGGTGAGACAGACTAATGTGACTTCTGCATTTATAGCATTTCTCTCTCTGGAACCGTTGGGATACTCCAAAGCTTTTCAATGAAAATGATAATCAGCCTATTAAAATCTACCTACTTCTTACTAGTATAATGAAATCACAAAAATGAATAAGGTTGAACTCCCATTTTCTGAGCATGTGGGGTAGGTAAAAGGCAAAAAAAAAGGCCCATACTCAAGCTGAAACCTTACGGCCAAGTTTTCAGAACTGTGAATTATAACCTGAGTACGAGTTCTACAGCATCACAGGGATAATAGCATCATTCTGCTCTAGAGGCTGAGATAGATAGAATGCTGGAGGCCAAGGCAAGGTGGCAGAGGCTGAGCCTCACCTGAGATAAAGCATGCCAAAGAGATTAGGAAATCTGCCACAGCGCCGGCCATATGGCAGAAAAGCCAGGCTTGAGTTGGAGGTAAATTCAGCCTGGGTGGAGAGCCAGGCTCTAGGAGCAGATCCCTGTACACGGTATGGGGAGTTGGGAAGCTAGCACTGTAGAGTAGGAATGAGGGTGGATGGCAGTGTTCTGAACCTGGCTCTTCTGCTTCCTCCCAGTTGTCTTTGTACGGTGCCGCCTGCCATGTGACGAATCCCACAGTGGGTACAGTATACAGAAGAGCACAAACACAGGAATTAGCTGCTAGCCTAGAGCAGTCATTTACACTTGAGATTGAGTTGCTGATATTGTTGATTATTTGTCCCTTGTGGTGAGGCAAGATGCATTAAACTCTTTTAAGGAGGCTTGTAGCTTAGTGCCTCTACAGGTCCCCGGACAGAACATCGCCAGCACCTGCAATGACTCACTAATTATAATGCCTCTCTTCCTGTCTGTCTACCTACTTACCAATCTATTATCTATCATATCTATCTGTCATCTATTTATATGTGTATTTACCTATCATCTTTCTGTGTATCTATCATCTACACACAATTCTCTTTATCATCAATCGTCTGTTTCTCTCAATCTCCCATATATCAAAGATATTTGATGCTATATGCAAAACAATATATTTATTTACCAGAGAGAGAGAGAGAGTCACACAAACCAGGAGTTAGAAGCATGGCTGGCTTCCAGGAGAAAAGGGGGAGTTCCTTTTCCTTTCACTTCCTTTTATATCTACCTGTGTCAGTTTACATTTCCCTCCCTCATGGGCAGATAGCTTTGTGGGGTTCACTCCTACACCCATATACTAACTAATCACTGACATTTGTATATTTTCAAGATGAATCTTCCATCCTTGTTCTCATTTGTGCTATGAATGATTGGGTAAGTTTCCAGTCGCCCTGGGCACCATCACTTCCCTATGGCCAGAAACGCATCTTCTTTTCCCATGTCTCCCAGACAAGCTCACTAAGAATCATGGCATTCCCAACTGTTTGTTTAGCTATAGTAACTTCCAAGACATGAAAGTAGTCCCCTTGATTCCATTCCACTCTTCCTGTCCAATCCAGACAGAAACAAGCGGAACACCATGGTAGAAGACTTGGTAGTTCTTGTGCGAGGAGGGACAAGTGAATACATCACCACCTTGGCATACAGAGAGCTACCAACAGCTGAACTGATGCGGGAATGGGGAGATGCTGTGCAGTACAACCCAGCAATCATCCAAATCAAGGTACATGCAGCCACTATATCCACTCCACCTCTGCGTGGAACATGGGTTTTGAGAATCTGCCATGAACTGTGTATGGAATGTGGAGATTATCCAATGCAAGGGTCCCAATCTTGAGTTACTTGCATTATAATATAAAATAGATGTGGAATGAACAGGTTAGAACACAACACCCCATGCCCACCTAAAGATTCCAAACTCATCACTTGGTTCCCAAGTTACTAAGGAAATTGGCATCTGCCATGCTATGACACCGGAGGAACACAAAGACATGACAAGGTGAAAGAGGTGCCTAGGAAGGACAGCAAATCGACAGCATGCATACCTATCTCCTAGGATAGGACAAGACATGATGATGATAACTAATGCGTTTGAAGTACCTACGGAGTTCATAGTGCGCTGCTGGGGCATTAGGAATATTATCTAGAGTAATGCTTTCATGTCTGCTTGTCAAATGTGTTTGCCCCCTTTTGTGACAAGTCAAGTGTCAGGAAGGTCATGCCAATCTTTGGTAGTTCAAGAATCTCTTAGATCTAGACAAGAGAGTCTATCTTCTTTCCTCCCCCATATGGGCTTGGGGAATAGAAAAATAATGATTCTCACCACCTGACTCCCACACAAGAAGAATCCTGCAACTGTAAATAAACTAAAGAGACGCTTGTTAAAACAGGACTGTCACAAACATCAGCAATGGTAGATCCTTGCTTGTGGGGACATCACTCTCTTCTTGCTGGTGACTGTACTGTCATTGATGGACCATTGTTCATCCCTGAGAGTTCTCTTTGCAGTCAAAGAGGGTACCTGGGAGACTGGACCTAACTGAGAGATTCTGAAGTTCTGACCCTGACAATTTTCCAACAGGAGCTGTATTTGTGTGTCTAGTGCATGGCTCTACAGGACAAGAAGGCTGTCGTTCATGTCTTCCTTCTGTTTTTAGTCACTAGTGACACAACAAATCACTGGCAATCATGAGAGAGATCCAGCTAGCCATGGGTTGCAGGTAGTTCTAGAGGAGTTTGAGATTGATTGATGCCATGGTGACATTGGATGACATCACAGCCAGGTGAGAGAAAGAGAAGAGAGAGTTCAGATGAAAATAGACATATGAACTCATGTTCTGTACTATGATATCCTATCTGATATTTGTTAAAACTGAGACCTAGGGAGTATGGCTTGGTTACCCAGTGAAGCCAAATGGGCCTGTCTGGGTCAGAGACTGAGAAGGTCAAACTGGCTATATCAAGTTGGGAATTATGGAGGAGAGTGCTGTAAGGATCACAGCAGGAGAGGCGCAAAAATGCAGAGGACCTTCCATGCACCTCTGTGCATCTGTGCCCTGCTCTGCAAACACATGTTTATCCATCCCCTGCTTCGGGCGCTCTCTCTGGTCTCAGAAACTGCAAGCTGCCTTCACATTGTCTCAGAATAAGGCCTCTTGACAGAGGCAGCTTTCCAGGAGGAGTGATGGCTGATTTCAGGACAGCAGAGCCCACTGGATAAACAATTCTTATACTACTGCCTGAGTATAATAAATTGCCCTTTGAGAAGACCTGAGATGAGATTTCTGCAGATGCACGGTATGCAAGCAAGAACTAGCTCATGTTATTTCCTGGTAAACACAGACAGGGAGAGGTGGCACCTTGTTAAAAGAAGAGTTAGAGATGGAGATGGATAAATAAAGAGATTTTTTAGAACAAAAAAGATGGAAATTATGTTCAAGCTGCAGAAAATGAGCACATGTCTATAAAATAGAAAAATGGAAGTAAATTTGAGAATGCATTTGCTTTGTGACAACAATAAAATTCAAGAAAATGAGGAATTTATGAAATAAAAATAGAAGCTGAGCTGTTTAGACACTAATCAGATGAAAAGAAAGTAGCTGGATGTGGGGAACCAAGAGCTCAATGGCAGAATTAAAACCCACATTGGAAACTATAAAGAACAGAATTGACACTGCAGAAAATTGAGTCAGTGATGTGGAAGGTACTATAAAAATGCAGAAACAAAAGACAAAGAGATTAAAATAGTGATGTAAAAGAAATATGATGGATAGAGTACAGAAAGAGAAATCTAAAACACAAAGACTCCTTCCTGAGCAAGCGACAAGATTAAATGTGTGCACACATTCATCAGGCACATAGTAGAGAACCTGGCCTGTAATGACAACATAGGATAAACACAGTAGTGAAACCTAAGCAGAAGTACTTCCCACAAAACAAAACAATACTGCAACACACCCTGCTGACATGTTTTGCTTTTAGGAACAAATGTATCCCCTAGGAGTAAAAATCAAACACCGAAGCCATTCCAACATGCAGTGTACTAGAGACCCTGGTCTTTAAAGGAAATAACTTGCAACCTGTTGAGATGTTCCTCAGTGGGTGAACTCCAAAGGCATTTAGAGACAAAACAAAAAGAGGTTTGTCAGATTTAGCTAATGGAAATACTGAGTATCCAGCATTGAACTTCAGACAAATAAGGAATGGTTCTCTTGGGATAAACATCTCTTGTGTATTACACCAAACATCCTTATTCTTCAGTTATTCCTTATCTGACTTTGGAATAGAACTGAGTGTCTTTGTTTAACTGGAAATGGAAATCCTAATCATTGGTCTGTCATCTGCATATGTTTCTGCACAGGTCAAGGTAGCGAGGTGGTAGGGTTGGACTAAAGCTGATAATGGCGTTGCATTGTCTAGGGTAGAAGGAGAACTTATGAGTGGTGCTTACACAGAGGTCATACAACAACCTCAGCACCTTAGTTCAATATGAATTAACTTCCCAATTACCCAATTAATGCCCAAGAAGTATTGGGAAGAGTGTTCCACCAAACATGGACATCCAAACACTCAGATGCAGCTGATAATGGCAATGAAGATTGCCAGAAGTATTAAGTTACCTCACTCTGTGCTCCTACTCACCCGTCAGTGGTCAGAACAAGTCACTCTAAAGGCCTGCTTCTGAGGACCTGCAGCCCTACTGTGTACCAACCTTTCTCTGAAGACTGTAGTCCTACCACATAAAAACCTTCCTCTGAGGACCTACAGCCCTACTACGTGCAAAATTTCCTCTAAATAGATGTACCCCTACCTTGTGCAAGTCTGATTTTGAGAAGCTACAACTCTACATATTCCTCTCCTGAGATGCAATCCTACTATGTGCAATCCCGCTTTGGAGGATCTTCAGTCCTATCATATATGAACCTCTCTTGAGAGGCTATATCCAAAAAGAGGACTGAAATCTTTGATAAATAGTACTAATACTTTCAAGAAGCAAATTCACTCAAAAGATGTTCTGGAAGCAAAAGAAGATATAAAGTGCAACATGTTAATACTATTCCAGTAAAAGCATTTCTGCTAGGGACTCAGAAGATAGCTCACGGTACAATCATGAAGACCTGAGTTCGGTCCCCAAGAACCCTTATTAAGAAACAAAAACAAAACAAAACAAAAAAGCTATGTGTGGTGGGCTGCGTTTGTAATCTCGGCTCTGAGAAGGCAGAGACAGGCGGACTGCTGGGCTCATTGGCAAGCTAGCCTAGTCTTATCAGTGAGCTCCAGGACAGTGGGAGAGTGTCTCAAAACAACAAGAGGTGCACAGCTCCTCAACATCATCACCCATGGTGGTCTTGTGCACCAACATGAACACATGCATGACATGTGTGGCTCCATGTACATGCATGCACACACACACCACAAAAATGTTAGTACGTAGGCAGATAGTTCACCAATAATGATAATTATGATAGCTTACCACAAATAGGATACTTATTATGTGAAGAATGACACAATTCATCAGAATGATACAATCTCTAGGGAAATGGACACCCATCAGATGGTCAATAAATATTCAAACTTTTAACCTCTCCCAATAAAATAAGATGATAATAGTATTATTTTTACCTATAAAATTGACAGTGATTTAAAATCTGTAATACTTAAAACATTATGAGTCCTGAGAGGCCCTTTTGTAAGTTAGGATGGCGATATTTTGGCTCTAGTCTAGGGATACGTTTTAAACCAGTATCTCCATACTATTAAAAATGTTGATTTTTGATCCAATTTTATTTTTTTTTTGTAAATATATATAGAGACTAATTGGCTTTGATTACTTGGAGTAGCATAAGCTAAAATGGCAAAGGTATCAATTGGATCCTAAAAACCAGAGGAGCTGAATAAATAACTAGTCCATCCATGTGTCCTGAAGCCGTGGAAAGTCACTTTTATCAGCACAGGCTGAGTCACACAGGGAGAGCCTCATATTGCAAGTGAAAAGATGAAATATAAAATTCCACTTATGCACCAATTTGGTGTGATTATCTAACTGTCCATAGGTCTAAAAGTATATACTGACTAACCACAATATTAACAGTCCAAGCTCACCCTTGGTGGAGGTGACACCTGTGTCAGTCTACTTAGCTTTTCTGTGCCCCGGCGTTTTCAGCTGCCACAGGGGGAGACACGGGACTACTCAATTATCAGACCGCTGTGAACGCTTGGCGTTGTGTATGTTGTTCATCTCCTTGTGGTGACAAATTTGATGTGGTTAAGACCAGCAGGGTCCACAGCAGAGATTTGCATGGACCATAATAGACATTCTCCACCATCACCTCTAAACGGTATGATAAATAACATTTTCCAAAGGGCAAGGGTGTTAAAGACATGAGTGACGTTGTAGTCAAGATTGAGTATCTAAGGGGGGGGCAGAAGAAAGAGGTTGAGGACGAGTGGAAGGGAGGAAGGAGAATGGAGACAGGAAAGCCATATTGACCTAAATGTAAAGGACTGCCCTGAAGCCCCATTTGGGGTTTTCTGCTGCACAAAAGCAAACTGCCACAGCCATGGAGAGCACATGGGTGAGACTTGTGATGAGAACCCCTGAGCCTCTCATGTCAGCAGCCAACCTAAACTAGTAGGGAGAACACAGGCTTTGGGTTCCAATCTTGGTGGTACCAGGATTGTCATCTTGGTGTTCTTGTTTGTTTGTTTTTTTAATGAGATGTGTAACCCCCTGGAACTTCCTCTCACCCAGCAACTGTGCTAATCATCATCATCTTGTGAGGACGGGCCCTGTTCTGAAGCTCATCAGCTTCCAAGGTGCAGTGTATGTGGGAAGTTTATTCAGGGTTGGCAGCCGGCTAGCTGCTGTGTCCTGGTAGGAAAACACCATGGTTGTTAAAGTAGGCCTTTCAAGGAGCTCAGAGCAAAAGCCAAAAGCTGACTGTTGAGAACCTTATCAGTGGTGTAAAGCAAGCTCCCCTCATTCACCCTCCCCCATGTGTGACCAGCAGGCTGGTCTCTCTGAAAACAACCTCTGGATCAATTCATTGACCACAGACCGGTGAGACAATGGGACCTCCAAGGGGCCTTGCTTTGCCCACTGGAGCGAAGGTCAGCGTCAGATGCATTAAGAAATGGAAGCAATTTTCTTCCCACTGGAGGCTTCTATTAGGCATGATTGCCTGCATTTAGACAGACCCTAAACTCTCCAGGGCTGAATTAGGACAGGATCACACACAAAATCTGGACAGGAACCAGGCCCTGGAGCTGCATCCACAACCAAGAGGCACAGAACAGTACAAAACAGCAGTTTGGCCCTAGTCCTTCTCACCCACAGAGTCACATGCACTGACGCGCATGTGCAGTGACCAGCACCTGCAGTGTCTGCTGGTACTCTTCTCACCTCTGCCTCCTCTCCCATGCCCACTGCCACTGCCTCACTCCGACACGCTTCAGCGAGCCATCTTCTTTACCCTTCATCTGTGACTGTGCCCAAAGGGAGAGAAGAGAGAATGGTACCAAGCCTCTCTCTGCCCCGCTAACTGTCAAATCAGGAAGATATGGAGGCTTCTTGTGAAAAGGTGTAAGGGTTATAAAGGAATGTCTGGAAAGCATGGATGCTATCAAACAAGTAGCTCAGAGGCCTCCGAGGGCAGGGTTGTGAGCCTTGGACTAGGGGGTGGTGGTGAGCTTTTGGGTTGTGTGAGTGATACCCATAGACCTGGAAAGGAATGAAGCAAGGACAACAACTCTAAAGTGTTCCAAAGAGCTGTACCTTCCAGGCACACCAAGACAGATGAGCCCCTTCACTCCCCTCCCCACACTTCTCTGATGCTTTGGTTCTTACTCTGTGGAACCACATGGGGCAGATATGCCTTGACACATTGTGGGGTTGTGTCTGGGTAAACCTATCATGAATTGAAAATGTCAAGGCAGAAATGCATTCGATATACTGGGCCTGCAGAACACAGCTTGGCAGTGCTGTAACCTGGGAGCTTTGGGCTTCTCATGGTCCAGGGGGTGACTGAGCCAGATCTCTTGACACTGGCTGCTGTGCGGTACTCCCAGTGCAGCCTATCACTATCTTACTTTGAACCCATTTAAGTTAGAGATGGTCCATACGCCTGTCATGTACACTAGTGTCTGTCTCTGGCTTTGCAAGTCCCTGGGAATAGAGATTCTCACATTGCAATTATTGGAGTTTCATGCCTAGCCCTTAGAAGGTATTCCTTGTTAATTGATTTGAACTTGAACAAAGGTACTTGTATCTCGCAGGTGAGGAAGGCAGAGAGGACAGGCATCTAGCTGCATGCTGTAGCACCTGTCCTATCCCGCAGGGACCCTCCGGCATTTTCCATGCACTGCCCTCCTTGTCCTTCCCCTGTAGCTGTGATTTGGCCTCTACTTGATGTGTGTTTTATCTCTTCTGTCCCAGGCTGAGCCCCTATATGAGCTTGTGACAGCCGCAGACTTTGCCTACTCCAGCACAGTGAAGCAGAACATAAAGAAGACCCTAGAGGAATTCCAGATGGAGGTCAGCTCCTGCCACTGTGCTCCTTGCCAAGGCAATGGAGTCCCTGTTCTGAAAGGTACCACCTTATAGAGCACTAGGTCCTTTGTGGAAGGCAGCATCTGCAGGGAGGCTGATTCTGGGGCAACTATTTGCTCACTTTTTCTTCCCAGGGGGTCAGAATGGTGGCAGCAAGGAGATTCTGCTCTGACTGGCAGGGCATCATGGGTGACTGATGAGGGAAGTCCTATGTATATGTCAATAAAGCACTGTTGGCCAATAGAGAACCAAGATAGGTGGGACTAGGAGTCCAGAAGGACTCTGGGAAGGAGAAACACAGGAGTCGAGATGTAACGCCATGGGGTAGGAAGCCCGGAAACTTCTCTGGTAAGAGAAATACTTAGATTAATAATTATGGGATAATTACTTAAGTCAGAGCTAGCCAGTAAGAAACAAGCAAGGCCAACAGCTTCATAATTAATATAGCCTCCTGTGTGTTCATTTGGGACTGATGCGGCTCTGGAACCAGGCTGGCGGGAAGGCTTCTCTTTACAGGTGACAGTAACATTTAGTTGAAACTTGGAGCTGGGAGTCTGTGGTCTACCTTTAGGCCAAGTATCAATTTAGTCAAACTCTGAACAAAGAAGAGAGTCTGGGCTGACCCAAAGTAATCCTTTGCGAATGTCCTTGCCAATATGAGGTGAGATGATTTGATGGTGGCATCATGGACAGACCAAAAAAAAAACCAAAAACTTGATACTAATTTTTGGGGGGTCATGCCCACAATCCTTACAGTGGGTGGGACAAATTGGGAAGAGGTAGAATGTAGTCTCAGGCTTGTTATGATGGGCTGTCAATAATGAGGAAGAGGCCATTCCAGAACCCTAACCAGGATAGCAGGAGCCTTTGATTGCTCCCCAACTCAGGGAGCCAGCAAGAGTTAAGCATGTCAACAGAGAAATCCCAAAGGTTCATAAGAGAAAACATGTTTGAGGGGAGGGAGATTCCAGGCCAATTCCAGCCCTGAGGGATATGTGTGGAGTTTCACAGATAGGACAGCTGGGAAACAAGGTGTGGCCTGCAGCTTCCTCTGTCAGTATAAGGCCCCCTCCTTGGAGGTCATTTTATAGGAAGTTAGATCTGCTCAGCAGCTCAGAGTCTGAGCCTAGGATTACTCTGTCTTTCTTGAGAACTAGGAGCTGGTGTCCACTGGTTTATAGAATAGAGGCAAGGAGTAAAACGGAGTCAGAGATTCTCAGGCCCTGTCCTGAGGAGGCATTCTTCATGAGCAGGACACTGGGGCAGATTCTAGATGAACATAGAGAAGCACTCCCAAAGACTCAGCATTTGCCAAAGGTAGGTAGGATGAGACTCAAAGAGGGAGGAGCTCCCTGGAGGCACTCAAGCAGAGACTAGACTATTACTTATGGATGATGACTGGCCTCAGCGACTGCTAATGCAACATCTGATGCTGAAAGCTTATAAGTACCAGTCAAAGGTCAGCTAAGGAGCAATTTTCTCACTAGCACTATATAATCCTCACGATAGCAATGGACACTCCTTCATGACCGCCCCCTTCAGAAAGGAGCAGGTCTTGGCACTGAACCTGCATGTTACATTATCCCACCCACTGTTTGGTCCACATCTATCTGGTGGAAATGCAGTTGCTTGGGACTGAGCTCTTGAGTCCTGGCTTCACTCTCTCCCTGTTTTCCTCAGGATCTCGCTGTGACTGCATTTGCCCTGCTGGTTTCCAAGGCATAGCCTGTGAGATCACCCATCGGAAAGGTAATGAGTCTTCCAAAGTGGAAGACTTTGGGTGAATAGACTCTGGGAAAATGTAGAGAATGACTAAAAGTAACAAGAGCAAGGTGTGGTGTTCAGGATCCTGTCTGGCTCCTTCAGAATTTTATCATTTTACTGTTGACAATGTACCGTGGTGTAGGACTGCTAATGTGTGGCATCCCCAAGCCCTCTTGGGTTGTTGTGGTAAGCATATGTTCTTTTTGTATCATTCAACTTCCAAAATCCAGGGTATGTGCATATATGTTTTCCCTCTGGTAGAAGCTCCTATAATATGCCCCATCCCTCAGTGGAATTAGTCAATTCCTGTTGTAGAGGCCCACAGGATTTTGAAGATATATATAGCCCTTTTCACATTGTATCTCCTCCCCTCCTTCTGTAAGTAATGCTGTATCCCATTGGCTTCTGTACTACCATGACTCAGGAACAGTTATCTCTCAGAGATGATAGATAGATAGATAGATAGATAGATAGATAGATAGATAGATAGATATAGGTGATTGATAGATGATAGATAAATGATAGACGATGATGAAGATAGACTAATAAATTTCCCTTCCAGCTCTCAAATTCTTTGCCCATTCTGTCATTTAAACATTATCAAGCTCACATTACTCTCACTTTTTGATCTTTACCATAATTTTTTGATGATACCCTTAAAATGGACATATCACAACTAACAAAGCCTTAGATATCCTCTGTGCACTTTTCTGTTTACTGGGCACCTTGGCTGAGTTCCTGAACTCAGATTGAGTTCAGATTTCATTGCCATCATCTAATAACTCTGACTTGAACACCCAATCTCTCTGCATCTGTGAAATGGACATGATCCTACTTACTGCCTCACAGAACTAACTTAAGTTTATAATGATTCTTTGCAATAATCCCGTGAAGTCAATACTGGTGATATTCTCATTATATAGATAGAGAAGATGAAGACTAGTGGATCATCATTCACAGTGAGAGCAAGAACCCAGATACATGTTAATATGTGACTGACGGCACAACCTTTGAACATGTCCTTCTGCCTCAAGTTAACTTTGCTGTCTCTTCCTGTACCTCAACAAGGTCTCAACAAGTGACCTGCTCACAGTGTAGGGTCACATGGCCACAGTGTCTCTGTTTGGAAGAGACCTCATAAACCATCCACTATAGCACTTTTATTATGCACATATATATCATGGGGAAGTAACTGGTTATTCACCAGCCTCATCTGCGACCAAAACAAATCTTTAAGTAGACAACAAGCACCAGTGATATTCATCTCATTTAAAATATGCCATGTTCACAGAAGTTAATATAGCTCCCATACATGAGAAACTCTCCAGCATCTTACAGTTGTGAAGTGTCTAATCTGGAAACCATCCATCCCCCTCCTACACTCACATCTGCCCATCCATCCACCTGTCCATGCCTCTGTTACCCACCCACCCATTCACCATCCACCAACCCATCTACCCATCAACATGTTTACCCATCCATCCACCCACCCACCCACCCACTCACTCATCTATTAACATATTTATGTATCCATCCTCCCACTACTCGAACATGCATCTATGCACCTACTTATCTATCCATCCATCTATTTACCCACCCACCCACCCACCTACATATCCATCCTCCTACTATCTAATACTTATCTGAAGAAGACCTTCTGTATTCCAGCCTAGGTATTGTGATTCATTGATGCCAAATCAGGTATAATCCCTGTCATCACTAAGATTGTGATACAACAAGAAATAATAATGCCATTTGAATTATTCCACAAACACATTTAAAGTTTCTATGTAATAGCTGCTGCAAATGCTCTGAGAGCTTAAAATACAGGGGTGGTGAAGATTAAGGATCCTGGGCTTCTGTGAATGCATGTTTACTGAGATCGGAAGGGCCAATAGGATTGATAATGTCAATGGTGAAGGACCATTGTTTTCTTTAGCTCTTTCCTACCATAGGGTATTTATACATTCTACAGTTGTTCCTTTCCCAGGGTACTCACTGTTTAAAGGGGGAGATATCAGAAATTCAGATTCCAAAAGCCTTTTGACTAATTCACCCAAACCTCTCCCACCTCCCAGAACAACAGAGCTTAATAAAGGCCAATTTGCACTCATTGTCCTTCTTTTTGTCTAGATATCCCCATTGATGGGAAGTGGAGTTGCTGGTCTGACTGGTCTGCATGCTCTGGAGGACATAAAACAAGACAAAGGCAGTGTAACAATCCGCTCCCTCAGAAAGGAGGCAGACCCTGTTCAGGCCCTGCTTCAGAAACACTCAACTGTTAAAGGAGGGAGCAGACCCAGTGACCCGGCACGAGCTCTGGACCTCACAAACTCAGCCAAGCTTACCACACATCAGCTCCCACCCAGGGCTGCCACAACAAAAGGCAATGCCACTCTGTCCTTTAAAGATTTTAGTTTGTTCAGTGCATGTTAATTTGAATAAATAGTGAGTTGAGCAAAACCCTAAGTCCTTGCAAGGTAAAGCATCTTTGTAAATCTCCCTTTGCCATCTCTGCACTCTTGGTAACCTCACATGGTCTAGGAGCCAGAAATTATCTTGGTCACCAAGTAGTGGCAAAGGTACATAGTAGGTGTCTAATAATGAGACAGTAAATTGGTAAGACGTTGTTCATCCCTTGGTAAGCACACAGTCTTGGTCAGTAATAAAGACAGCCAGTCCTTATGGGATGATTTCTGTGTGCCTCCGATCCATTTCTATGACAACCTTGCAACACAGATACATGGGAAACAGACTTTGAAACTTGTCCCAGGTCATATAATTAAGTGGCAGAATTGTGTAGCAAATAGGGCTCCTGAATTTTAAATTCTTAACTATATAAGACTTGTCTCCTTTTCTGAATGAACACATGTTAGCAAAGAGCTGTTAATGAAATAATATGCAGCAGAAAGCACTCTGTCTGTGTGTATCTGTGCATGTGCACACGTGTGTGTGTGTGTGTGTGTGTGTGTGTGTGTGTGTGTGCGTATGTGTTCTTGTGCATTTCAGGGTACTGCCCAGCCTCTGCCTGCTGCCTTGTCAGGAGAGTGGCCTTGGGTCCCTTCGCTGCTTAATGCTCAGTAGAGGAAACAAAGCATGTGGCAATGGAAATCATGGAATAAATCTGGATGTTGGTCAGTAACAGAACCTGACTAGGAGTCAAGGGAACATGATCCCTGCAGGGATAAAAGGTTTACAATGGAAAGAGAAGGTCACAGTGGCTGTGAAATGGGTCGAGGGGCTGTTGGCTGTGGGGTAGTATGCACTGCAGCCCCACCCTCCCTCCTCTGAGAGATTATTCTACTTTGCTCACTGGACTTGTGTGCAAATACTACTTGGGGGGATAGGAGCTTAAAGCAGTCAATAGGATGGTTACTAATGTCCAGGTCACCAATGACTTTTAGATTTTTAAAATGCTAAGTGGTTAAACTTCATATTTCTTATCCATTCCCTATTTTCATTGCTTTGTTTGCCGATGAGCACATCTCCCTGATGGAGGAACTTCAGGTGAATTTCTTGAAACAAAATGGATGGGGAACAGCAGTTTGCTAAAGGTAAATTGATTCATCAGATTCATTTGCAATCAATTGTTTCCAGCCAAGTCACCTGCTTTGCATCTGCAGTGGCTGGATTTGGTGCTGGGTCCTGAGAGCTGAACATATCCATGGTGCTGAAGCTTTTCTCCAGTCTGGCCTGGCCTGCTGTCCTAGTGGAGTCAATAGGAAAAGGGGAAGGAGCTGTGGACTCACTGCCTGGGGCAGTGGCAGGCAGCCTTGCAGTTCTGTCTGCCTTCCTGCATCCCCTGTCCCCTGCAATCGAACTGACGGGTCTGGGCCCTTGTTTAGCTTAATATTATTGCTTTGCTGTCTGCTGTTATTTCAACAGGATAATGCAATAATGTTTTATCTCTTTCATTATACAGAGGCCGTATAATTTTCTTGAGTTATAATCTATCTTCTTTTAAGATTCCCCCGAGACAGGGAAGAGCCACTCTGTCTTTGGTTGACGGGAGGCTCCCAGGAAGCTGACAGTAGCACATCGAAGCGAGCACCACCAAATTAAATTCTGAATCTCAATCACAGCCACCACTTCTAATGGGAAATTTGAGTTGATTATGGAGATGACAGCCCAGGTTCACGTTTATTGCATTTAGCAGAAATTGTTTATCCTATTAAATGTGGTCTTGGAGGAGAGACAATTGAATTGTGAAGCACCACTGAATACCCGGGTGACGCCCAGGCGCTGCTAAACTGTGTAATAATTATATTCTTATTTGTGGGCTGAACTTCCCCACGTGGCTCTTTCTGCAAACAAATGCACTTAGGAGGTGGTTGAAACATAATGTAAGAATTAAACAAAATAAATGCAAACTGTGCTCTTGGAGTCTTGGCAACTGTGACTCACCCAGGTATACTTGTGCTGAGCCAAAATGTTTTATGGGCAGAGCCCAAGCAGTTTTCCTGAACTGTGAGTACAAGTACAGCCCAAGGAACCTGTGTGTGAGGGATGTTTGCATCCAAGATAGGATTTTAAAAGGCCATGAGCTCCTCTGCGCACTGAATGCCAGGGTAGGAGACTTTCCTGTGTGACCTTGGGCTAAAAGCATAACTTCTGTGGGGATAATAACTTATAATTACTTTGACAATAGTAATAATAATAATAGCTGCCAATTACAGTGTTTTCCAGTTTATGAAGTCTTTAGCCTGAATTATCTGTTTAATTTTTATGTAAGTTTAATGGGGTAGAATTTATGCAAGCAGCAGATGACAGAGGAGGTTTCAGATGGGATCCAGATCCTTACCAAGAATGTGCAGCAAGCAAGAGGGGCTGCAGGACCAGAAGGGAGCTCCCACAGGCTGGACCATGGGCAGAGGCAGGCCATCTGTGTCTTAAAAAGATGACACTAGAGCCAGGCAGTGGTGGCACACACCTTTAATGCCAGCACTTGAGAGGCAGAAGCAGGCATATCTCTGTGAATTCAAGGCCAGCCTGATCTACAGAGCAGGTTTCAGGACAGCCACAGATAAACGGAGAGACCCCGTCTTGAAAAACAAAAAGAAGAAAAACAAGACACTTCATCTCTCAAGCATTTATAGAAAATCTTTTGGGGGAAGAGTGTGCCTGGTGCAGAAAGCCTTTAGCTTTCTGCTCTCATCGACGGAGAAATACCCATAGGACCTTACACACAACAACACGAACTTAACTTACTCAAATCATCCATCAGACTCTGCTCCAGGTTACTATTTTAAGTTGTTTTTTTTTTTAATTTTGGTGGTAGTGTGCCAATATGTGCATGTGTTTGCCTGTACCTGTGCATGGCATATGGTTGTCAGGTGTTTTCAAATGTCTATCACTTTTTTTATTTTTTAGCTAGGCTCATTTGATATGTGTGCTGATATTTCATTTATGATATAACAAATAAAGCTTGCCAAAGCTCAGAGTGCAGAGCAAGCCACACTATAGCCATAGATGCCAGGCAGTGGTGGCCCATGCCTTTAATCCCAGCACTTGGGAGACAGAGGCAGGCGGATCTCTGTGAGTTCACGGCCACCCTGGGCTACACAAGATTGAATTTGTCTAGAAGAGAAACAGAGCTCACACAACTATGATTCCACCCCCTTGGGATCACATGCCTGAAATCCCAGCAGTAGGACGCTCGAGACAGGATTTAATATGGCTGGGCAGAGAGGAATATAAGGCAAGAGGAGGAGGAGAAGGGGGAGAGAGGGAGCGAGTCAGTCTGAGGATTCATAGAGAGGAATGCAGTCTAGGCAGGCAGTCTTAGGAGCTGCAATCTAGACAGTCTAAGCATTCAATCTGGAGACACATGGAAACAGGATCACCCTTTTGATCTGAGGTAGAGGTAAGAGCCAGAGGCTGGCTGCTTTACTTCTCTGATCTTTCAGCTTTTCCCCCTAATATCTGAGTCCAGATTTTTATTAGTAATGCTGATTAGATCCATGCTACAGATCTGAACTTGGACCAGCAAGTCCCCCAAATCCTACTGTCTCTGTCTACCCCTGATCCCAGCCAGTGTCAGGGTTACAGCTAAGCATCATCATGCCCAGCTTGTATGTGGGTGCTGGTAGTTCAAATTCACCTTATCTACTGAGCCATCCCCAGCTCCTAGTTGGTCCCTCAGCCGGACCGCCCACATACAACCTAACAGCAGCTTGTTGGAATCCTGCTGGTCAGCTATTTGAGACACCCTGTTCAGTGAATGCAGCCCTCTCCTCTTTGAATTATCTACCTGTCTTCAGTGCCAGCCAGATTCTTACCCTTCGATGTTCAAATGCTTAAGCATCTGTTTATGGAGACAGAGGCATGATGTCACACCCCTTGGCCGAACTACTGACATTGAAAGGAGAGGCTGGATAACATGCTACAAACATGTTCTGAAACCAGTGCTGACGTCTTAGTCTGGGCTCAGTGACAGATGACTCTGTGGTCTTGAGCATGCTCTGTTCAGCAGGTGCTTTTATCCCCACACATGTCAGAAGGGCATGTCACATGTCTCCTTCTGGAGCAACAGAGGTGTCCTGTGGATCTCTGGGCCCAGAAGAGGCCCTGGGCCCAGTAAGCACTCTTTTCTTAGATATGTCACTGCCATGATCATTTTCAGGGATTCTCAAAGTATCCCTAAGAACCCTGGTTGTTGGTTTTCATTTAAAACTGCTTTAAAGACATCTCAGTGCAAAACTCTCTACAACATATGAGAATAAAAGGACATAAAATTGCTTAGCTTCTGGGGATATCTTAATAAAGGCCATGGAGGGCTTTTCTCTCCCAAGTTTTGAGTTATTAAGGGAAATGTAACAGCATAATAACTAATATTTGCAGAGACTATTACCAATGACAAGGAACTCCACATACCCAATCCATGCCTAATCCTCTCAGTGCCTGTAAGAGGCAGATTTATTGTCTGCCTGTGACAAGTGACAGGGCAGCCTCAGAGACACAGAGTACCTTCCCTGAGACCACACAGCTCCAAAGCAGCCGGTGCTGTCTAAGGCTGTGGTGACTGTCCTGCACAGCTTTCCACTATGAGTGAAGCAGACTGATTTGTCCCAGGGCAGTCTATATACCTATATACCCACTCACACAGAGCAAGGACCCTGGCCTGCCCTCCCCACAAAACACAAAACAGATGGATTTGGGTGTTCCTTGTGGCAGACAGAAGACCATTTACTTTACCCAAGTTACATATCCTCTCTTCCTTAGTGTTCTTCATGCATGTGACACAAGTGTTATAATTTTATGACACTGCAAATACAAAGGGAAGCCATCATCCATGAGTGTTTGGCACAAGGCAGATACTAAACTGGCGTCCTATGCTGGGGTATTATACAAAAGTACCCTGCCCATTTTCTGCCTCTTTTTACTTTCCTGACAACTGCTTCCTTGAGCATGGAGATGAATTTTATAGTGAGAAAAGAGAAAAAGAAACCATGCTCCGCTGTGCAGAGGGGATTCTTGGAGGATTTTCAGCAGGAGTCAAGTGTCTGACCTGGCATTGGCCTTGAAGCGGGAGTCGGCACGGAGCCCAGGCACTCCCATTATCACCCCAGCAGTGGCCACCAGTTATCTCAAGTCTACACCTTGCAGCCTCAGGTGTCCCTCCATCCATCACTGGCCATTGTCTGGGGTCCACTCAGCTTCCCCCACCAGCTCCTGCCCAATGACTCCTTGTTAATAACCCAGTTTGTCCACATCCTGAAAACGATCTGATTCTGGCCCCTTTCATCCCAAACACCATCCATCCATCAACTGCTGGCTCCACATGCTTGGGTAGGAAAATGAGAGTGGGGGAGGGGGCCAAATAACAGATAAAACTTCTCAGTGTTATCTCTAAAGAAATAGAATGGATAAATAGATCTGTCAGACATATATCATGCCACCTGACAGCCAAGTCTATTTGTTAAAAACAGGTTAGGACGGGAGGATTTATCTCACATTTTAAGCTGTTAATACAGGAAGGAGACATATTTTTCTTTATCTCTCCAGGGGAAGAGGGAAATCCAAAGGCCATGAGTAAGGGACTTTTAATTTGATTTGATAGACTTTCTTTCACTAAGGTGGAAAGGGGTAAACTTGCTCCTTAACTTGTGCCTCCAGGATGGTATGGACTTGGCTGTCCTCACCTCTGGGATGCTATGGGCTTGTCTGTCCTCTAATGCTTTACAAAGGTCATGGGATCCAGGAATCCTGTTCCGTGTCCTGCTTTGAGGCTCTTTCTTACAACTTTCTACAGCCAAACATTAAGGCCAATGCTAGTCTTGGCCTTTGGTACCAAAGGACAGGAGGAGTACAGGGTGAGGGGTATATCTTAGTTGTTGGAGTTCTAAAAGCAGCATAAGAAATCGTTGTCTTTCACAGAAGTCACTGGACCAGACAGACAGGATGACTATGGTGATAGCACATGGAACATGTAAGAAGACAGTCATGCAGGGACAGACACCTGATGGTCTCTGGAGTCATAAGAGTAGCTTGGTTGACTTTTTGGGAAAGGAACCTAAGCCATGCCCCCAAAGAATTCTGGGAGGAGAGAGGAGGTGGGGTCAGAGGCAGATATGAAGACCAGTCATATCCAGCTTTGTACATCATGCCAGGGATAGAAGGTATCTGGAACAATGGCTTTATGGGTACGAAAAACACAATGAAGGCACAATGGTATACAGGCCTTAGACCAGAGATCCCCCCCCCCCGGAAATCAGAAAAACCCCAGAAAGGCCATGAGATGCAGTACCTGCTACTCCCAGAAAGGCCCGTGACCACACATGAGGTTCACACTCACTATCCCCAGGTTGAGACGGATATGCACCACCCCAGAGCTGGCAAAACACCCATGGACTGCAGTTCTGTGACTGTGCATGGTCAGTGGGCCTCTGTGTGTCCCTTCCTGTGATAAATGTTGCTTTTGTAACTTTCAGTCTTTCAGAACTCAGCTGGCTGGCTGGCTTCTAGCTGAATTCCCTGGTTCCTAGACTAGACTTTCTCTGACCCCCTGGGCTTCTTCCTGATGTGAGACCCAGTGCCATTGTCAATAGGTCTTCTCTGTTAGACTCTAAGTCCTTATACTGATGGGTCTGGGTAAGATTCAGCATCTCCAGCACCCAACAGTGGCCTCTGCACCAGCTGTCACTGGAAGTTAGTCTGACATTTTCTTTTTTTTCTATTTCTTTTTCCTTTTAAAGTATCTTTTGATTATTACTATTGTTGTTAGATTAGATTTTCTGGAGGCAACGACCACTAGCCAAGGAGTGTAGTCACTCCCAGAAGCAGGAGAAAACCTGGAATAAACTGTCCCCTGGGTTTTACAGAAGGCACATAGCCCTCATGGCTTTATCTGTATGTGTACATATGATTGTATTGGTTAATCTGGTTTTCTTCTTAAAATATTAACTGTATGTGGTTCTGCGTTATAGAACATTTTCATACATGTGTAGTATATTAAATATTCCACCTCCCACATACACCCCTTTCTCACCCTCTCCTCTCTCAGTTCTCTTTGTTCCCCTAGACAATTTTTCTACATTTTTAAAAAGATGTGGTTGAGGCATGACCAAGCACCCACACCCACATCCACACACATCAAGGCATCCCACCATATAGAATGGGCTTCGTAATGCCAGCTCATGCACTAGGGATAGATCTTGGTCCCACTGCCAGGGGTCACACAAACAGACCAGGCTACAAAACTGTCACCCACATGCAAGGGTCCCTGTTAGTCTTTGTTGACTCCCCAAGGGAGGCCTTACCCTTTTTGAGGAATGGGTGGGGAGTAGGTTGAGGAAGGTGGAAGGGGGAGGGGAGGGAGGGGAAACTGTGGTTGGTATGTAAATGAAGACAAAAATAAAATAAAAAATAAAAAAGGATATTTTTTTAAATTTTATTTGTGCGTGCATTCTCATCACATGCTTGCAATGCCCACAGAAGCCAGAAGAAGGCATCAGATACCCTGTGGTTGGAGTTAGGGGCAGTTGTGAGCTACCTAAAATGGATGCTGGGAACCAAACTTGGGTCCTCTGGAAGAGCAACAAGTTCTCCTAACCACTCCAGACTTCCACTTCTACTTTCATGTCATATACACAGACATGATTGATTTTATGTATTCATGGACAACCCAGAAACCACCAATAGAGGAAATGTGTTTTTGAGACTGGCTGAATTTAATTAATATGCTTATCTACTGCTGCATCCATTTTCTTTCCACAACATAATTTCATTCTTTAGGGCTAGAAAAATCATTTTCTTTATACATTCCTCGGTTTATCGACATAGGTGAGTTCTAAAAGTTAGCTAATGTGATTACAGCTAGCGTAACTAGTTAACTTTATATTGTGAAACCTTTTTCAAACTTCAGACCCTCACAATGTTAAGACAATAAATTTGTGTTACTATTTAAAAAAAATAGATGTTCTAGCTGGGCGGTGGTGGCACACACCTTTAATTCCAGCACTCGGGAGGCAGAGGCAGGCGGATCTCTGTGAGTTCGAGACCAGCCTGGTCTACAAGAGTTAGTTCCAGGATAGCCTCCAAAGCCACAGAGAAACCCTGTCTCAAAAAAAAATAGATGTTCTTTGAGACAGTAACTGCACCTACCCTAAGCTGGTCTTGAACTTGCTGCATAGTTGAGCTTCTGTTTTTCCTGCTTCTACCTCCTACTGAGCCCTCATGTTCAGTTTATATAGTGTGGTGATTTGAATAGGCTCATATATTTGAATACTTAGAGCACAGAACTATTTGAAAGGATTGTTCTAGTGGGCATGGCCTTGTTGGAGTAGGTGTGGCTTGTTGGAGTAGGTGTGGCCTTTTTGGAGGAAGTGTGTCACTGGGGGTGGGCTTTAGGGTTTCAGAGCCCAAGCCAGTGATGCTCTCTCTCTTCCTACTCCCTGTGGATCCGGATGTAGAACTCTCAGCTGTCTTGTCTGCCTGCGTGCCACTATGTTCCCTGCCATGAAAGCAGTGAACTAAACCTCTGAAACGGTAAGCTGGCCCCAATTAACTGCTTTCTTTGATAAGAGTTGCCATGGTCAGGGTGTCTCTTCACAGCAGTAGAACACTGGCTAAGTCACAGAGTGCTAAAGATTGAACTCAGGACTTCATGTGTGTTAGGCAAGCATTCTATTAACTGAGCCCCGTTCCCAGCCCTAGCCTGCCCATTTCTTAGGGGTGACAGTGGAGCCTGCCTTCAAGGCAGCGGAATACCTTTGTTAGTCAGTTCCACCATTGCTCCTCGTGAAGCCCAGAGACTTTGAGAAGGCATCCTTCATTTCTGTAATGCAGCTTCTGAAGCCTGCCCTTCCTCTATGCCTGTTTCTCCCTCTAAAGACACAGTAGCTCAAAAGAGATTCACTGGGTACAGAACTCTTTAGATCTTCCTCAAAGAGAAGAAAGGAAGAAAGTCTCACTCCTTACTGCTTTCCTGTCTGTCATTAATTTACGTTTCAGAAGACACATTGTCAAGCTGAGGAGTATAACTTTAAACCATGTATTTATACCCCACTCCCTATAAAACTGGGATTATAGATCTCCTTAAGGACCTAGGGGGAAATGTACTGGGAGAGGTGTGTGTTTGTGGGAGTGAATTGCTGCAGAGAAAGGAGAGGCTGATGGAGTCAAAGGTTGCCATAGATGCTTTATTTTAGTTTCTAACGCTGCTGGGGAAAGAGTACTGTGTTTAGCTGGCGATCGGGCGATCAGGGCTCACGTGTGATCATTCAGTCTCTTCTGTGAAGTTTCCCTCTTACTCCCAGGTTTACTACATGGACCCCTGGCAAGGCTTCCTGCTGCATCTCCTCCCCTGCCCTGAGCGCCACAAACTACCCTGCAGAACCCTCCAATGGCAGATGGTGTAGAGCTGGGGGGAGGGGAGGGGCAGTGGGAGCAAGGGCTTGAAGTAGTGCATGAAATTTCTGGCCCACAGCTCTGACCCATGACGCATAGTTTTCTTAACTGTGGCATAGACCTCACAAAGCAAATCTTGAAAGGTCCTTGGTAAAGCTACATAAAATAGCAAGGATCAAGCTTTCCTGCCCTGGGCCCTCTTGTATGTCAAACACCCCATGCCTTGTGGGCATATAATGATTCTTCCACTCTCAGTGGTGGTCGGCCTTGCCTGTGCCTGGAATTGCCAAGGGAGCTCTGAAAACTGCGGATGGTTGGCTCCTACCCCCGGTGATTCTGATTTAATTGGTCTGGGATGCAGCTTCTGGACGTCAGGGTTTATAAATTCCCCAGGTGATTCTTATGTGCAGCCAAGGTTGGGAGGCTCGGAACAACTGTTTAGAGCAAGATTGAAAGTCCTCGTCCATTGCCCACTCAGTCTCTTTCACCTGCCCCCAGTCACTTGCTATCATGGAGCCGCTACTAATCACCAATTCATGGATGTAAGCTAATTATTAAGGCAAACTAATTTTAATGGGAGAAGGGCACATAATAACATGCTGGAAAGCAAGAAGAGAGCCTTCTTTCATTCTTTCAGAGACAATCGCCAAGTTTATTTAGATAAACCTCTGAACCACATGTTTTATCAATGGGATTAACAATCATGGTGCTAATACCAGATGTTACATGACAGGTGCTGCGATGGCCTCATACACCTGATTTTCTTTGTTTTTGCTGTCTTTCCCACTCCCTGTCCCCAACACATACGCACCTGCAAGCCCTCCCCGCCCCATGTTCTATCTCACCCTCAAGCTCTATCTTAGGCTGGGTTTCTTTTTCAAAAGTCTCCTCCCTATTGATCTATGGAAAAGTCCATCCAGGTCCATGCCACCCCTGATGATCTATGGAAAAGTCCATCCAGGTCTGATACACAACTCGGGAAGACTGCCCTCTCCCCCTTGTTCTCTTCCTGCATTCATTTGTGAGCTACAAATGTTGATGTTAACAATTCACTTCCAATGGCCCAAGAGTCTCCTCTTTTTCTTGTGTGCAGTTGGCCCTCTGTTTCTGAAGACTTTGTAGGTATGAATTCTACCAACTTCAAGAGAAGGCAAGGGTAAGCCTAGGATGTTGGCTTAGCTAGTTTTATGTCAACTTGACATATTTTGAAAGAGGGAAAGTCACTGAGAAAATGCCCCCACCAGGTTGGCCTTCTGAGCAAAGTAAGTAGTATATTTTTAAATTAGTGATTGATGTGAGGGACTAGTTCACTGCAGGTGCTGCCATTCCTGGGCAGGTGGTCCTGGACAGTATAAGAAAGCAGGCTGAGCAAGCCATGAAGAGGAAGTCAGGAAGCCACAGCCCTCCATGGCCTCGGCTTCAGACTTTCTGCCCTAACGTCCCTTCATGACGGACTGTGAGTGGCACATGAGGGACTGTGAATGTGAAGTGTAAGCTGAAATAATTCCTTTCCTCTGAAGTTGCCATTGCTCATGGTGTTTTATCACAGCAGTAGAAACCCTAACTAAGACAGTTGGCATGGTGCTGAAAATGAACAGGGTTTAGGGTACATGGGACACCAGACTCCTGCTGGGATTGGCTGGTTTCTGGAAGGGTAGGGACTAGGAGTTGATGTCAATGGGTTGACACTTCCAAATCCTCCTGCAGCTCTGGAAGGCCGACCAGTGCAGACCTCACCTTTGAATGGCTCTGTTCATTTGTCCCAGCGACTGTTGCTGACTAGGCCCCTGTGATCTCTGATGCACAACCTTGGCATCTGAAGATGTTATGCTGTATGAAACCAGCCCGGTTTCTGCCTCTGAATATGACTGCTTCTCTGGAGAATACAGATAGGAATCATGGGAGATGTACTGGGGTTAGAATATTGGGGGCTCTCTAAATTCATACCTGGAAATTCTCTACCTGGTGTGGCATGAGGAGGCTGGACTTTGAGAGGCAAGTAATTCATGAAGACAAAGTTCCCATGGGTAGGAATAATGGCCTTATTAGGAAGGTGCCAGGGACTCCCTAGTCCTCTGTCATGTGAGATCACAAAAAATGTCATATATAAGTGGAACACAGCCTCCTGAGACCCTACACCTGCAGGAACCTTAGTCTTGCAGTTTATGCCCCCAGAATTGTGAGGCATAATTTCTGATGAGTCTAAACCACAGAAGGTTTATCGTTAAGCATCCCCAATCTAGTAAGACAGAAAGGTAGTTGTTAGAAGTACAGGGTAACAACCCCTTGAAACAGGGAGGTGGCCTTGGAACCTTGGTAGAGGCTAAAAATCATGAGGTTCATACTAGAAGAAAAAAGCCCCTGAGTACATGAAGCGATTTGGTCTTTCTTGGCTTGCCTTCCCTTGGAGCAGCAATCAGTTCTTCCCAGTAGCCAGGCCAGATAACAGCATCCACAACCTTCCCAGCATGCATCCAGAGTACTCAGCAGGCCCGGGTCTGCACGCTCTTCCCTGGGCAGGGGGCACCTCCATTCTGGGGTGCAGGGTTGTTGCAATGTCTCCTCCTTTCTTGGGTACCCACTCTGCACTCCGACCAGGAGCTCCAGCAGCTCCAGCGGCCATCTGTTTTTCCTGCAGGAAAATGGAACAGAGGAGGAGGTTAATGTGGGAGAAGCAGCTGGCTGGGAGTGTAGGGCAGGAGACCACCTTATGCTCCAGAATGCTCTGCAATCCCTCCTTAGGGAAAAGCCCTGGGTAGCCAACCAAGACCTCTGTGCTTGCTGCCTCACAGTTAATTTGAAACTCCGGACAGAGTGAGAAGAAGCCTCTTGGGAGCCCATCTCATGAAATTGGAATCCATGGTTGCATGGAAGATAAATAGCAGAGCAAGGCGGGAAGCATACTCCTCTGGGGGAAGTCGTCTGAGTCACTGGAGGGTGTGAGGAACTAGAACTATGGCCACCCTGCAGATCCAAGGCAAAGGGATAGCTAGAGATCTCTGGAGCACATTGGTGAGGTTCTGTATGTGGGTTTCCAAAGCCAAACCCTTCGGATTCTGGCAATGGATCCTGGGATACAAAACTTCCAAATTCTTGCACTTTGTGTGGAGTCTAGAAACCCAGCACACAGAGCCCCACCCAGGGATTCTGGCTCCATGGACTGTGCCTCTGCAAGTCCCTCTCCCCTGGGAAGGCCAAGGTTTTGACCATAAAAGAAGTATGGCCTAATCCAATGGGATTTGTTCATCATTTTCTATCACTATTTCTTTTTCCTAAATTAAATCTTCCATGAACCCCACATCTAATTCACATGAAAGCAGAGCAATTCTATTGAAGCTAGGGTGACTACTGGGCTCACCCTCATTCCCTGGGGCAAGCCCTAGCACCCCAGGACTCCTCAGATCTCACTGTGAACATCATTGGATTAGATTATCTTCAAGTCCCTTCCAGCACTGTAATTATACTCCCTGATGGGGCAGCCCCAGCAGGATTCTTAGTCTCTGTTTCTCTCACCTCTGTGACTCTGTCCCTACTGGCAAAGGTTTGCCGGGAACTCCTAGGGACTCTAATGGGTTTCTGTGGACCCTGACAGATTCCTCTGCCTTAGTTTTCCTGCCAGTTTAATCTCTGTCAGACTGAAAGTTCAGTGAGATATCCACACCCTGCTTGGAGTGTTGCTGGAGCTCCTTGCAAGTTAGCTGAATGTAAGAAGAATGAATGCAGAAGGATTGAGACCTTGGATGCAGCTCCTTGTCCCCCACTGTCACCCAGATCACTGGCATCTCGCTCTTCCTCTACAGCCCATAGTATATGACTCAGCATGAGTGTCTGGCCTTCACCCTGCAAGAGGTATGTCTAAGTGACCCCTCTTCTCTTTATCTCTTTGCTGTGTGGACCAAGCCCTAGACAGGGAATAATTAGAATGGCCAAGCCAAGGGTCACACTTGTGTCTTGAAGTCAGGCTAGACTGAAATCCACAAACTGGTTAGCCCAGGCCTGCTCCCCACTCCCTTAAGTGATTGTTAACTGGAATTGTCTCAGAATCTCCACTCTCATTGACAACTTCTGTAACAGGATAACATGAGACAGACTCAGGAGTGAACATTAAGTAAAGACCTTGGGATCCTGGCATCAGACTCCCTTGGTCCAGCTCCCTGATCCTCCCTTCTTCAACCATACGACCTTCAGCAAGTTATCCAACATTCCTTCTGGCCCAGGCCCCCCATCAGTAAAAGATGTTAACAAGAGCGTTTATCTCCTAAGGATCATGTAGGAACGATTAAGCTTATACACAAAGATGTGCTTCTATGATGCAGATTTGGACTGAAGAACCATTATTTCCATCAAGTGCCCTTTGGACCCTTTGGGAAAGTTGCCTAGCTGAAGGGGCTGCAACCTAGTATATACCCTGAAGGTGAAATCAGAGGGTCCCTGAACTCTGGAGCTGGGCTATCTCAAGCTAGAGTATCTTTATCTCCCCCAGCCCAACCCCCAACTTACCAGTTCCCAAATAGTTAGTCAGTGGCTTTCTCCAATTCCCAGGAGGAGACAGCACAACAGCCTTGGAGCAGGTAGTTAGTAGTGATAGTTTTTATTCTCTGTACCTACAGTTCTCAAATTTGACCTTTCCCTCAATCTCCTTAGTCTCTCCTCTCAGAAGTCCTCCTCTGGAGAGGAGACAGCAGTTTTGAGACCTAAACTGTTTGTTCTTGAGCAGAGAAGGGACCACCCCAGGTAAACTCTGTCTGTAGAGCATCTGGCATGCAACAGCCACATCCTTTTGCTTGCTGGCATGGAGTCTGCCATGTGTTTTAGCTGGTTAAATCTTCAGCATGGCATGTGAGGAGCATAGCACCATAATTTCATTTTATAGCACATGCTTACATGAGACTAGGTGACACTTGATTCAAAGGCATGTTTGACCTCAGAGCTGTGCTCCCACCTGGAGAGTCTCTCTCAGTGAGGAGATGATAACCATACCATTATCTCATCTTAAAACCAGATCATGTAGGGGGTCACCTCTGACTAGTAAAGACATTGCTGTCTTGGGTTCTTCCTAGCCAAGGGGAGCTGGATCATTTCCAGATTCGGACTAGCAGATCATCTTTATGTTGTTCTTCCCTTGCCTAAGTCAGAAGTTGAGTGATTCTTAGGTGGAAGCCTCCGTGAGGCGACCTTACCATCCCTTCTGTGAGCTTCTACACGGTCATGCCCTCCACTCTACACATGCCACAGTGGATCTGGAAGAAAATCCTCCCTCGTGGCCATCGTCCCTCTGCTCCATTGGTCCTGAACTTTGATCTCAGTGGCCACGCAAAGTAAGTCTCATCCCTTCCTGCATGATAGTTCCTGAGTCTTCTCAGTGCCAACCATTTCCAGTCCTCCATACTCTTCCTCCTATTCCATAGTGTCCCCACTTCGCTTCAGCAACATCTAATGAAGCACATGGGAATAGAAGAATACATTCTAGCTCTTCATTTCTCTTAACCTAGCCCTTTACTCTGGGGACAGATGTGTCATGCTTTGGACTCCCTCTGAGTCAGAGGGCTACATGCTTTGTTTATTGTCTGCATATGTTCAGCCAATGGCTCCTACCCACCCACTCTGTGCTTCCCCAGGTCATTATGGACACACTGCCTTTTGATTTGTTCATCTAGACTCCCTCTGTCCCTGTGTTCTTCAGTGCAATAGCCAAGTGAAACTGATTCATACGTTGATTTTACAATGCATATACTCTGCCTTCATTCTCTGCATCATATAAAAGCAGTTTTGTATGTATGGTAAGCTGAAAATTTAGTTACTGGGATATGCATTGATATTATTAAAGCTTGACAGGCCTAGCAGCATAGGCCTGTAACCCCAGATTTTTGGGAAGCAGAGGTGGGAAGTCACAGGTCCAAGTCCTCCCTGGGCAACTTACTGAGGTCCTGTCTCAAGATAAAAAGCGAAAAGAAAGCTGGAGTGTGAACCGCTATAGAGCATTTGCCCAGGGTATAAAGCCCTAGATCCCGAGAGAGAGAGAGAGAGAGAGAGAGAGAGAGAGAGAGAGAGAGAGAGAGACAGAGAGAGAGAGAGAGAGAGAGACAGAGAGAGAGAGAGAGAGGGACAGAGAGAGAGAGAGAGACAGAGAGAGAGAGAGGGACAGAGAGAGACAGAGAGAGAGAGAGGAGAGAGAGAGAGAGACAGAGAGAGAGAGAGACAGAGAGAGACAGAGAGAGAGACAGAGAGAGAGACAGAGAGAGAGAGACAGAGAGAGAGAGAGACAGAGAGAGAAACAGAGAGAGAGACAGAGAGAGAGAGAGACAGAGAGAGAGAGAGAGGGAGACAGAGAGAGAGACAGAGAGAGAGAGAGAGACAGAGAGAGAGAGACAGAGAGAGAGAGACAGAGAGAGAGAGAGACAGAGAGAGAGTCAAAAGAAATTTAGATAGAACCATATGAATCCCAAGAAAAAAGTGCTTAACCAGTGTCCTAGGGTGAGTTTATGAAATATCTAGGATTCATGGCCAGGGTCCCCCCACCCCAACTTCATCCTAAAGGGAGAGAGTTTTTACTTCTGTTGATAAATTTCTCCCATAGTGCTGGTTAATGAATTGGTTTGTGCCAAATCTATACACTTTTGAGCCTTTCTTTGCCCCAACTGTGTATCTAGTAGTAACTCCTTATGTAATGGCATCCATTGCATCCCTGCAAAAGGCACAGTCAACTCCCAGCTCCCATTACCTGTGAGCAGAACCTTATTTGAAAATCTGGTCTTGGCTGTGAAACCACATTAAGATAAAGCCACCTGAATTAGGCTGAGGCCTCATCCAACAACCTACATTCTTACAGAGAGAAGGGCCCAGAGAAGCGGGGAAGAGAGTCATTTGACTATGGAGGCAGAGACTGGAGTGATATATCTACAAGCCAAGCAACTCCAAAGTTTGCTGACAACCACTAGAAACCAAGGGAGGCACGGGACACATCCTGCCTAGAGGCTCCAGATGCAGTCTTCCCTGTGCCCCCGCCAGCAGACCTGGACAGCAAAGAGTCTTGAGAGCAGGGAGAAAATGGAAGACAGATTAAACATGGGATTCGACATGAACTATAACACCCTTGGCTGTGGGTTCTTAGGGCAATCAATGGAAGGATCCAGACAAAGGGGCAAAAATCCCAAAGGTTCCTTCTGTATGAGCCCCAAAGATCCAGGACAGCCTGGGGCAGAGTGGAATGCATGGGTCTTACCCTCCAGCACTGTCTGCTCACAGGCGGGGCCTTGGCGACCCTGGCTACACTGACACTTGCAGCTAGTGCCCTGGAGTATGGGCTCCCCGTTGTTGAAGCAGGGCCCACAGCGGCAGGCATTGAATTCCATCAGGTACTGGTCCAAGGCCCGGCGCAGGTTCTGCTGTTTGGTCTCCAGAAGCCCCAGGTTTGTGTGCCGCAGCAGCTGGTGGATGGGCTGCATCTGCAGGTACAAGAAGAGCTCAGGGTTTCTCCTTTGGCTCTGTCCACCTTCTTGGAACTCAAGAACTGGCTGTGAGGATTCTGGAAGGCCTGCTGCAGAGAGACGGATCCTCACAGCCATTCTGCAGAACTGGGGGCTCAGAGGGTGCACATGACTACCTCGAATCACATGAGCGTTAAGTGCAAGCATCGTTCTGAACATGGATTAAGTACCTCTGAAACCTATGCTGTCCATACTCCAGAGTGAGGAGAGCACTTAGAAGCCACCCTGGCCAACTCCCTTGTTGCCTCCAGAACTTTAGGAAGCCAGAACCATGTAACAGGCTCTGCCTGTCACCCTTTAACACGGGCATTGATAAAGGGAGTTGTGTTGCCCTTGGAAGCAGATCCCTAGCGATGCAAGTACAGCGCTATGTGGGTAGATAGGGTCATTTCCGCATGAGGTAACCAGGCTTTCCCAGCCTCCATACTGGCGACTAGAATGAAGAATGTACTGGCAGGAGCATGTTGCACTGTGTGACCCGCTGTTCAGCAGCATCACTGGACTCTGCACACTGGATGCCAGCATCGCCCTTGTTTTGAAAAAGTGTCCCAAGTCCTGAATGCAAAACTGCCTTGGGCTGAAAAGTGATAGGAATAGTAGAAAGAGAAGCCTTGCTCCCAGCTGTGGGATCTCTGTCAAGGGACCTACTATACCTCTCTTCTTCATCTAAAAGTGGGAATCATCACCTCACCCTCTGGTTTTACAGTGAGGACCCAGGGAAGTGACATGTGGCAAGACCTTGTCACCTAAAAAGGTGAAGCTAATGCTGCTTGCTGCCTAGCTCTGTGGCTGAGAGGCTCGTTTTCCCTCTAAGCCTGGGAATGGTGCCTGCTTTCTAGAATCCTCATGACATAAAGAGGAGTGAGTGTAAGAGAGAATAATATACAACATACCGTTCTCATTTTAAATGGCATTAGCAAAAAAGGGGACAATGCTTGGGACGTGTGGGCAAAGTGTTTGCTGTGTGAGCTTGACGACCTGAGTTAGAATCCTTAGCAGCTGTGTAAAAAGCTAGGCACAGCAGCCAGCTCCTGTATGTGACCTCAGCACTGGGAGGCAGAGACAAGATTATCCCCAGGGACTCGCTGATCAGTCATCATCAAGATCCAGGTCTTTGAGAGACCCTATCTCAAAAAGAAAGGTGAGAGCAACAGAGGAAGGCTCTAGGCATTGACCTTTAACCTCTGATGCACACACACACACACACACACACACAACACACACACACAGAGAGAGGTAGAGAGGTAGAGGGAGAGAGAGACAGAGAGAGAGAGAGAGAGAGACAGAGAGAGAGAGAGACAGAGAGAGAGAGAGACAGAGAGAGAGAGAGCTCTTCCAGTTACCTCTAGCTATCTTTAGCACCCCTGCAATGCTATGCATTTGGAGAAGATCCACAATGAAAGTTTCCTGCAGGGCTCTAATTTTAATTTTGCAAGGGAGGAACCTGAGGCCCCAAGAGGAGAAGCAATTTGCCCAGGTCAGATAGAACCACCCTGGGTCAGCCAGAAGTCAAGGGCAGGCCCTTCACAGCATTCTGATCGTTTCCTGGAAATGTGGACAGAAAAACTCATGGCAAACAGACCTTGGTGAGGAGTCAGAGGCCTTCAGGCAGGACAAGCAAGGATTGGCTGGAGCCCCAGCCAAGAAATGATCACTTACTGGAAGGTCAGGGAACTGGGTCCGCTGTTAGGACATAGTATGGAATGTGCTGCCCACGGTCTTGACTAAAGAGGACTGTTTCCAGTCAAGGCCAGCCCCACAGGAAAGCTTCCCCTTAACCTTGAAGCAGACCCAAGCCCCTCCCCTCTCCTCACAACCCCCAGGAAATGCTCCTGGGGAGGGCTGGTGGTTTTTAGGAAGGGATAGAGAAGAAAGGATATTAGAATTTTGGAGCCTAAAATGTACTGGCAATTATCTTATCCCGTTTTATAGATAAGCAAACAGTCAGAGAGCAAGCAATGAAGCAGCATAACAAACTTATACATACTTAGCACAATGTGTATAATAAGAATAAAACAGTAAGACCCATGAATGTACTCATTCTAAGTACTTGGCTATGAATGGTTACTTCTGATGCCATTTCTTCTATGGGTCTCAAATAATTCCTAACTGGTATGCCTAATCTGTGATCGACTGATCTATCTATCTAGTTATCAGCCTGTCAATCATCTATCCATCCATTATCTATCTATCCATCTATCTATCACCTGTCTATCTATCTATCTATCTACCTACCTACCTACCTACCTATCACCTCTCTGTCTCTCTCTCCACTCTCTTTTTAAAGCATAAAACTAGCTTTATTTCACTACTCTAAAACCTGCCCATGATTTAGTGTATTGATGTACATATCTCAGGGGCTGATGAACGTAGTGAAGACGTGGTGGATGCTAAAGAGTTAATGGGACATGGCTGTCATTTGCTTGCTACAGGCTTTTATGCTGGTCCATTAGTTCTGTGGATCTGTTTCCTTGTCTAAGATTCCTTGAGTATCCCCCTCTGTAACTTTATAATCTACTGTTCTTTGTTATATTATACATGGTGGGCTGAAAGTAAAGGAATAGACCAGAGTGACACCTGGAAAGGGGGGAGGAGTCATGATTCAACCACTCCTCCTTTCGTCTCCCCAAACCCTGGGTGCTTTCCTCCAAAGAGAATGTCAACCTTCAAATTGTTACCCTGCCTTCTCCTTAGAACTTTTGCTCAAGGCAAAAACAAAGTTCACATCTTAACTGTGAAAGCATATGTATGTATGTATGTATGTATGTATATGTATATATGTATATATATGTGTATATGTATGTATATATGTATGTGTGTGTATGTGTATGTGTGTGTGTGTCTGTTCTCCTGATGTCAATTTTACAGTTTTTGCCCAAATCACTAATAGCTTGATGATAGCAATTTTCAGACCCTATGTGAATTACAGGTGCATGAAAGTGGTCCCTTACTTATTGGAGAAGAAATGAAATCAAGGTTAATCTATCTGACCTTCTGTCTTCATCGAGAGCAGGGTGTTAAAATAGAGTTTTAGGTTTCACTGGTGTGAAGTCCTAGAAGTAGCTATTGGTTTACAGACATATTGTCTATGTGTTTAAATACATGTAGAAAATGGGCACAGATAGAGAGATAATAGTTGGGACAACAATAATACTTTTCTTACAAGTTTGAAATGACAACTGTTTTTTAAAGAACTTTCTTGACAGTTAGTGTAATCCAGTTTGTAAGGTTAGAAACAAAGCCAGATTTTTTTTATTTTGTTGCCATGTCAGGCCAGAGGATTCTTAGCTGGGGGACTAGTGTGTGCCCTGTTTGGGGGTTAGCAGGACTTTGGGTTCCTTCCTCTAAGTCCCCAGAGCACTGACTTTGTTACATTGCCTGGCATTGACCTGGCACATAAGTCGTATTTTCCCTGAACAACAAAACCACCTACCCCATGGTTAAGAATCAGTGTTTTGTAATTTTCCCCCTTTCAAGATGGAGTTTCTTTGTCTAGCTTTGGCTGTCCTGGAACTAGCTCTGTAGACCAGGTTGTCTCTGCCTCTGCCTCCTAAGCACTAGAATTAAAGGCATACGCAACTACTGTCTAACAAAAAAAATCCGTGTTTTAAGGAAGGTGCTAGGACAGGGGCAAATGAGAACTGAACACACACACCATGAGCCTGAAATCTAGGCACTGTCACATAGACATTTCCTGACAATTTAAAAAAGTATTTAGTTCCTTTAATCCCAGCACTCGGGAGGCAGAGGCAGGTGGATCTCTGTGAGTTCGAGGCCAGCCTGGTCTACAGAGCGAGTTCCAGGACAGCCTCTAAAGCCACAGAGGAGCCCTGTCTCGAAAAACCAAAAAAAAAAAAAAGTATTTAGTTTTTCTGGGCCTGATTCCTAATCTATTCAGTATTTATTGCCTGTCATGAAAGTGTGATACTCTCAACAAGGGAATATTATTCAGCTGTTAAAAATTAAATTTACAGAGATATTGATGTATGTGGAAATCATAATATTGAGAGAGGTGACCCCTCCCAACAAGCATGTTCTCCATCATAGGCAGATCCTAGCCGTAGCTGTGAGTATGGGTAAAGTACAAATAAATAGAAAGGGAGTCAAGAGAAAATAATACTAGATGATGAGAAAGGACACATGGGTATTTAAGGCGATGTAAAGCTAAGTTTTATCTAATTTTTATGGTGGATGTATGGATTCAACTCTCCATGTATTGAAGTAGCAAGAATCATTCCTGTACTGCAGTAGAATCCACCATGCCTTCTTCCTTTGAGGGAGCAATTGTGAGAGGTGGATGTTCTTTTGCATTCAACTGACTGTGAGCACAATAGGAATTAAACATGACTAGTTACTGAATATGTTTGTCACGTTGACATACTTACAAAAAATGATTTTTTTTCAGATTTGCTCTGGTGGAGGAGTGCTACAACTTAAATTTTTCTCTTTTCTTCTCTTTAAATCTATATCCAATCATTCTTTTATAGTGTTGTTTAACATGTAAATTGTATTGCTACTCATAAAGTACAGCTTTTTAAATAAAGTTTATAACCCCCTAATGTACTAGATGTGATTTTTAAATTAGTTTCTGCAAAAATGCAAGTTGGTTCTTCACATCTAACCCTGCAGAGCTTCTGGGATAGCAGTGGGCACCTGCACCCTGACTAGACAGTAGGTTTCTGACCTGAGCTGTCCTGTGGGTCTGGTCTAATATCACATCTTCCCTCCAGGCAGGTTTGGGCAAGGGCACCAGTTCAGTGTGCCGTTACATTTAATCTTGTTCCTTGATGGGCTCATAATAAGAAATATGAAATGATCTGGTCGGCTTCACTTAAATTCCTTATAGACGTAGGGTTTCTTCAACTGCGAAAAGACTTACCTCAAAATCGATAACAACAGGGCTGTACTTTAATGATCTCCCCCAGGACCGGTATGTAATGGTGCTGCTATTTTGTGTCAAGCCACTGCCCCAGTCAGAACTGCCACCTCGCACCCGAGAGATGATGTCCTCCACTGCCAAGATCTTGTTATTTGTTTCTATCAAGAGAAAGACAGCATTAGCTTTCCTCTCCCCAAACCAAAGGACTGGGTGGTAAGTTCTACAAATTTTAGTAGTGTTCATCTCCTCTCTTTAGAGCTAGATCTGTTCTTCTACTGTACCTGATACCCAGCAGGATGGGATAGACAGAAACTGCACATCCTCTGTGTGGAACAGACATGGAGAAGCCAACTCAATGTGGATGAGGAGTGGCTGGGAAGGCCAATGGCCATTCATCCACTCATTCATTCACGGATCAGGGGTTTACCCAATGCCTGCTTGTTCTCTCTCAAATTCTTTCCCCCATCTCTCCATCTCTTTCTCTCTCTCCATCTCTCCCTTTCTCCCTCTCTCCTCTCCTTTGCTGTTGTTCTCTCTCCATACCAAATATTGTAGATGCTATGACAGATGTCACTGTAGTACTCAGTGCAGACACTAAGAAGGAAGCACCCAGATGGGCTAGTCAGGAAGGAAAAGGAGCTGCTAGGTCAAGTACAGATGGCTGAGAGGTCGTCAGAAATGGGGTAATTTGGCTCAATAACCAAGGCATAAATAACCTAAGCAACAGCTATAACTTAAGCCTATTTAGTATGCACTTTGCCTACTATCTATTATAAGCTGATTTCATACTCTTTGAGTTCTCTGTCCCTCACCTGAAAAGAACTCAATTTGAATTTGATAAGTGAGTGGATGAATGAATGTATAAACACCCACACTGACATTTTCAAGAAATGTTAACCATCTGTGTACATCCTTTCACTGGTCATCATAACTTGAACTTGGAAGTCATAGTCTTTCCTCCTGAGAGACTTGTCTACTCCTTCAGCACCATTATCTGATGCGATGATAACTGATTCTATCTACGCATCCCTTTTCACCCTGTTCCTTTCTAGGGTCTTTGCCTAATCCTTGAAATCTGGGAAGGACCCTTAGACTGTTAAGTATTTTTGAGATGGCTTTAGTGCAAGCAGGTGAACCCAAATCAGAGACATTATACACTGGTCATGGCTTGGGGGCACTTAGTATCTGCAGTGTGACTACCAAGAGAAATGGAATCAATTAGGGAAGAGAATCATTTGCATGGATTGGGTGTCCCAAGGGAAAGAAGGGCTGGCTTCTCTTTGGGGGAGACCCGCTGATAAGTACTTGCCTCTGCTAGCATTTCCAGACTTCTCACAAGACTTAAGTCCTGGTAACTCTCCTTTAACAATTAAAGTATCCCCAAACTCCAGGCCCACGGAACCTCCGATGCAATTTTGGACATCTCTTGTGGTAATACCTGCAGTGGGAAGACAGAAATCGAAGTACTCGGATTTGAAAAGACAGCTTCACGTGGTTCAACTAGCTAAGGCTAGGGAAAGTTTGCTCCATCTTTAGAGGCAGAGAGGGCTGGCTTGAAATCTTCACTATTCTCTCATGTGGGATGGCCATCAAAACACCTGTAGAAATGAGGCGCTGCGTATGAGACTTGCTCTAGACTCTCCAACTTTTTTCTTTGCATTCCAACAGGAATGCAGGATATCTGTCAATATAAGTGCTTTCTTCCCTCCCACGTCACCTTTTCTGAAGTATACCCATGTCCTGTTCAAATAGTATTTACTTCAGGAAGCGTTTTTGGAACAGAATATCCTTAGTCTCATCTCTTGTCACTGTTCTTTTTATGCAGGAGTTCAGTCATCCGTTCAGAATAAATGACTGATAAATGAAGGGAATAAGTGAGTGAGTGAATGGCATGATCTTGTGGGAAGGGAAGGGAAGGGAAGGGAAGGGAAGGGAAGGGAAGGGAAGGGAAGGGAAGGGAAGGGAAGAGAGCCAGCCCCTTCACATTCCAGTCCTTGCCACCCTCTGTGAACTCTGCAAAGGGCCACGAGCCCACTGGCCTCAGTTTCTCATTTATGGAAAGAAGGGATTATTCTTCCCTAAGTATGTATCAGGTGAAGAACCTGAGACACTGTAAACATCAGTTTCTGCATCTCTCTAGAGCTGGAAGTGAGTGCCGGGAGGAGGTGCTCTGAGCAGCCCACTTAGCACCAAGTAAAGGGCTTCTTCTGCTATTTCCACGGAAGCACTTTTAATTTTAATGCATAACTAATTGAGGAAGATTTAGCATATTTAATTGTTTTGATTAAAAAATCCTTCAACAGTGATAAACAAAAGTGGATGAAAAGAATTCACGGCCAGAAGCCAGAGTGATTACTTACTTCTGTGAGTGGCAGAGTGCTGCCGAATTAATGATAGCATTGCCTGATGAATCAGGGCTGGAAAGTGCTATAGAGGGACTGTGCTGCTGAAGCTGAAGGATCTGCAGACACAGTGTCACAAAGTGCAGGAAGGCTCAACTACAGTGGCTTTGCCTTCTGAGGACCTCAAAGTAGGGTACGAGACAGTCAGGGGATGACTGCTTCAGAGAATCACGGAGTCGGAGAGCTAACAAGTCTTCAGATACCAGCCCACAATTGTAATTTATAGTCAAGATGCTTGTGGTTCATAAAGGTTAATTAGCTCACCTAAGGCCATGCACTGAAGGCATCAAGCTGAGATTCATGTGAAGCCTGCATCATTTTCCTTATCCCCAGTCACTGAGTCAGACTTAAACATCCTGTTCTCTGAGAAATTTAGTAGGCACCTGCTGTGTACCCTCCTGACACATCACGTGCTGGTAATGTAGCCATCTTGAGTTAAAACTCCTGTGGGTTGGATGTGAATCTGGTTAAAGTCCTTATAAGACTAGCAGGGGAGAAGCAAGGACCAGCCCAAGACAAATCCGTACCAGAGAGTTGCTTGTTGGAATGCAGTAGGGCAGACGAGTAGCCACACAGAGCCCTCTGAGACACCAAGGACAATGAGCTGGGTCAGGTAGAGGAACTCAAACCTGTATCCAAATACAGGAAGTGAAACTGATGCAGGAAGCAAGGACACAGATCCAGGAGGATGGATGTAAATGGGTAAAGAGGCATAATGGAAAGGACAGAGTAGGGTCTGGAGCTGGTGAGGAGAGCCAGTATGTCCTTGGTGGGTGGCCTGATCTGTGAAACACCCTACCCAATGTTCTAGATGTATCCCACCCATATTCCACAGTACACCTTGACTTGGGTCAGATTAAAATAGACTTGCTTAAGCAAGTCACCACACCCATCTGTGGATTAAAACATAGACCCCTGGACCCCATTTCCTTTCATTCTATATTTCTGAGAAGTTGGAAATCTGTATTTTAAGCAAGGGTCTTGGATGATTCTCAGGTGGTAAGTCAGGACTAAGTGGAGCACTATGGTTCCACAGAGATGCCTGGTGGCTTCCTCCAGTGTGCTACGGCACATACTGTTTCCATCAGTGCCTCTACCAATGCCTTGGATGTGGACACAGTCATCAATCAACCTTGTCATATCTACTCAGCGTAAACTGGGAAAGCCAGAGGTTAGTTCTGGTTACTAATCAGGATTGAGAAATCCCTCAATGACTGGATTCACAGGCTCAGGAAAAGGAGACTCATTTGGGAAAGTTGTAACTTCTACCCTGGGGGCAAAATACCAGCCTCACAGGTACCTTAAGGAATGTGGAGAGCTGGGCAGGTAAGGCCTAAAGTACCTGATTACTCCCAGTTTACCAGGGTGATGAAGCCAAATGGAAATAATAACCAGAAAAATAAAGATGGGGTAACTTCATTCTCCCCTCCCTGGCTAGAGAAAAGCCAGACTCTGATAAAGTCCAGAGAGGGGCACATTTCTTCTGTAAACACTACTTAGTCATTCAAATTCCTTAAAGAGGACAGAAACCCTGCTAACTTGTGACAACAGATAGCCCTTAAGGACATTATGCCCTATGAAGGAAGCTAGGCTCAGAAAGACAAAGGCTGTATGATTCCCCTTAGATGAGGTAGCTCAAGTAGTAGAACTTACTCCATTAAAGTGGATCCTATGGTTGCCAGGTCTGGGAGGATGGAGAAAGGGAGAGTTGCTAATCAATAGACATGAAATCTCAGTTATGAGCTCTCTGTACAACACTGCTCCTCTAGTTAATAACACTGGGTTACATGTTTACAGAGCCAAAGGGGTGGGTGTCCTCGGTGCTCTTGTAACAATAAAAGTTTTTGTCCTGTGGTGTGTGTGTGTGTGTGTGTGTGTGTGTGTGTGTGTGTGTGTGTGTGTGTGTGTGTAGAGGCCCAAAGTTGGGCCTAGGAATTTAGGTAGTCTATCTTTGAGGGTGAGTCTCTCAATCAAACTCAGAGCTCACTGATATAGTGTGATAGTATTTATTTTTATTTTGTGTTGTTGTCAACTTGACACAAGCTAGGGTCATCTAGGAAGAGAGATCCTCTTTTTATTTTTAAAATTAAGTGAGTAAGTAAGTAATTTTTGAGACAGGGGCTTGCTATGTAGTTCTGGCTGTCCTGGAAGTCCCTATGTAGACCAGGTTGTCCTCAGACTCACAGAGATCTACCAGACTTTGCCTCCAAGTGCTGGGATTAAAGGTGTGTGTCACCATGCCTGGCCCAGGAAGAGGGACCTCAATTGAAAAGATGCCTCCATCAGACTGACCTGTAGGCAAGCTGTAGGTTGTTTTCTTGATGAATGGTTGATGAAGGAGGGCCCAACCTACTTTGGGTGTGGCACCTCAGGGAAGGTATTTCTGGGTTGTATAAGAAAGCAATCTGAGTAAGCAATGATAAGCAAAACAGAAAGTAGTATCCCTCCACAAACTCTTCTTCAGTTCCTGCCCCAGATTTCTACTCTGATTTTCTTTCCTATTGACTGATGTGGAAGTGTAAGCCAGGTTGATTTTGATCAAAATCTTTATCTGGGATTCAATCACTTTATGCAATAGAAAGCAAACACACACACACACACACACACACACACACACACACACACACACACACACACACACACATGAATAGCAAGGCCTTCATCCCTGCCTGTTGAGGCTGGAATTACAGGCAGGATATCATGCTCACCCACATTTACTTGGATTCTGGAGACCCACCCGCACTCTGGTTCTTGCTTCTACAGCAAACATTTTAGCCACTGAGCCACATTCAAAGACATGACCTTTGGAACAGGAATGTTTATCTGAGAGAGCAAAGATCTCCCCTTGTGTGAATAATAGCACTATCAGACAGCTCTCTGGGGGCACATGCTGACCCCAGGGGATTTTAAAAGGCTTGTGTGTGGGGGCAAGGGTTACTGGGATAAGAGATTGCATCAGAAGGACAGAGACTTTGGAAAGGTGGCCTTAGGCTCCACCAGAGAGATTCATCATGATCAGAGGCCAAGCAGAGAGATCCCATCATGGAAAGGACCAATCAGGGGCTGGCTGCCTGCACATCAGGGGTCAGTAGGGAGGAGAGAAGAGTGGAACACCTGAGGTCTCCTGAGGTCTTCTTGCACTGACATTCTGAAGGGTTAAGATCACACCATAATGCTTCAAAAAGCACTTGAGGAAACTTTGATGAGTACACCATTTTACTGTGCACAAGGCACCTTTGGAATAAAGGGACCAAGGACACTTAGTATGGGGAGACAGGTGAATGGACATAGAAGAGGAAGCTGATACAGTGCAGCAGGCCTGAGCAGGCTTCCTCGGGGTCAAAAGTCGGACAAGCAGCACTAAGCAAGAAAATGTAGGCTGTATCGAGCAGAGGAGGACCACATGGAAGACTCATGTTCCCGGCAACAAGACAGTATTCAGAACGTCTGACCTAAACTCTAGAATAAAAAAAAGAGGGAACTGCCCCCAGGGTTCCATCTCTCTCTAGTCTGATGCCAAGAAGGTCTGCTTTAATGTCTGACATCCCAGTGGCTCAAATAATATGTCTCTGCCACTGTGCCTCCTGTCTGCTTTCCTCTTTGGTATGGCTGTGGTACAGGAGAGAGGGCAGTCCTCATGCCACAGAGTGAGTACTGCAGAATCAGCAGGGCTCGAAGGGAGAAGCAGGCAGCTTGACTTCCGAGGTGCCGGACCACAGAAGGTCTCTGCCATTCTTTGGATGAAAGGCACCAAGTGGAAAAAAAAATTGGTGTAATGCATTATTTATCTCTCCGCAGCAAACAAAACCACCCAGGTGACTGTGATCTATCTGCTGTGTTGCTTTGCTACGCTGGTTGCCTGCAAAACCAGTCTGTCCCAAGGGAAAAGGGTATCTTAGTGACTATTCCAGCCATGGCAGTGGGAAAGATCATTGGTTAGTTTGTGGCTGAACTGGCTGAAACAAGTTGGCTAATTCCCCTGCCCTCTTTATGCTTCCCTTAGTCTGTTTTAACTCATGTTTCTTGCTGACCAGCT